CATTTATTTGAAACAGAAATTTGTAACAATGTGAAAGTCTGCTGACTAAAAGTATTAATTTCTTCCCCCGTAAAAAAATAATGACCCCCAACTTTTTTTTTAAGCTGTGACATTACACTTGAGGTTTGTTGATATAAAATTGCTTGAAATTGTTAATGCCATTAATTCAGCTAAAGCTCCCCCACAAAATTGTCTCAAAATAATTAGTCACAAACTGAGGATAAGATTTTACAGAAAATCCAGAAATTTTGAACTGTTAGATCCACCTTGTGGCCAATTATGTAATAGCTATTACCATCCCAGTGCAGTTCTTCATTTCTTTGTAAATATGTACTGATTGTGGACAATTATCACTTTTGGTTTGTTTTTGAACAATTTGGCTAATTTAGAGGCAGTAAACAGCAAACAGACCAATTTTACGCTCTGAGAGGAGGATGAGATACATGCAAAGTAGCTATTATTTTAATCTTTGAATGTGGTCAGGGATCACCTGATTTGTGCATAAGTGAGTGACATCATTTTGACCACATTAAACAGCTTCAGTTTGTCTCTGCCATAAGGCTCAGGCAATTTTTGAGCTCCACAGCACTGTCTCTTAATTTGTGTTTTACTGTATATTTCAGACTGTAAAGTATGATTGTAAATATATATATCTTAGTCTCTCCTTTTTTATGGATACTAGGAGAATGTTGTCCAGATCCCTGAAATGAAGAAGTTCACTAAAGTCCTGCATATCAGTATAGCCAACTCATTGAGCCCAGGGGAGAGAGGAAGCCCACCCATACATTTTTAAAAAATATAAATATTATGGCCCTGGCCATATGAGGGATAGACTTCCCACTATTCAATAATTAATCCATTACCTTCAGCCTAATTGAACTGTTACATATTAACATTATTATTTGTCAGAAATATTATTTATGTAAATGAATTACCTGTACCTGGAAATCTGTACAATATTATCTCTGGACCATATAAGTATAAACATTAACTACCGAACCTTTGTTTGCTAAAAAGGGATTTAACTGGAAGCAAATATATTTTATAACTTTAATGATGTAAGATTCATAAATTCTCTATGAATGATTAACACAGATTCATGAATACTAAAATGCTCTATGTTTGTTCAGTCTGCGTGTGTCTCCGCTCACATATCCAGTGCCAGTGGAGGTTGCCCTGGATACACGCTAAAGGGAACAGACAAAATCATCTCTGCCTGCAAAGCACTATGGGACACATTATATTTAATGTCCCTTTGTCTTTTGATGTGAATGAGTGTTCTATCTGGACGACAGTGGTGATGATGTAACCATGACACATTAAAAAATAACTGGAGTGTAGTATGAAGTCCCTCAAATGGTTTTGTGGGAGTCTGGAGTGTGATTGAGAGAAATCATTTTTCATGGCCAGAAAACCTCTGTGCCAAGAATATCTGTCTGAGCCAGTGCACTGTAAACAATTATGATCAATAAGTTATGACAACATATGTTTTTACAATTCTTTAAGTCATCAAAATAAGATAACATTAAGTCAGTTTAATGTGATTAAGTTGAAATTACTTAAATATCCAAGTTGATAATACTTAAAAATTTAAGGCAGAAACTGTTTTTTTTTTTACAGTGCAGGGGATTATACTTGAAGTCTACCTTTGTACTTTCTCCTTTCAACAGCACAATAAACTAATCGTTTGTAAACGAGAGCTTAGTATGGCTCAGAAATACACAGCACAAAACACCCCCTCCCTATTGTTTAGTATCAAAGCATTGCTGTTTGTGACAGGTTCATGAGTAGGCTGCATGGTCGATTGTTGTCTATAGTGAACTAGACTGTAAATGACCAAATTTAAAAGCAGAGCTATTGACTCCTTGCCATTCACACTGCACAATCAATTATGACAGAAGTTTAAGCGGCCTGTAAGGACCATTAGTCCATTATACGTTTTACATGATAATAATTGAATCCAGTACATCATGTCTAACCTTATTGTTGCTATTTGACATGAAATATAATAGTAATAAAAATATTAGTATTATAAACACAAATTACATAACATCAATAAAATGGTCAATTATATTTCTAACAGTCACTCTTTGATTGAGGTTGACATCCTCATCGTCATGACAAAATCCTCCACAGGGTACTTCCTTCTAATCTTGAACTATCCTTCAAGTGTTGACTCAGCAGTTTCCATTCATCTCATAGCATCACTAAAGAGGATGTACGCCGTCATGCACCCTAAGCACACTATTCAGCAAAGCATGTTGTGCGTTTAAACTGTTCAAAAACAGCTTGCCTGATACAGGACAAAAAAAGTTGTAATTGTTCATTGTATAAAAATGCAGATCAATGCCATTAGATTGTACTTTTGTTCTGTTTTGTTAGATGATTGCTCTGCGGTGATGGCTCATCTCGAGACACAGAATTAGGACAGTTCCAGGGTTTTCAATCAAAGGATGGATGGAACCTTTTCATATTTCTGGGGTTCTCAGAAGCGGAAGTCATTATAGCTGGTTAAACTTCTATAGTGAAATCAAATAGGTATAGGTATTTATGCGTTCCCATTTACCCCAACAGCCCAAAAAACACCATATAGCATTTCTAGGTGAACGTGATTTCATCAAATATATGTTCCTGGATCAACATCTTGGACAGTGGGGACAGTTGCAATATGGCTTATTTCTCCAATCAGGACCTGGAACCCCTGGAAGAAAGCAGCCACATGTGATCATTCCTTCTGCAAAAAAGACATTTTGTGTTAAAAAATACATTTTTTATGATCAGATATTTTTTCATGTCTAAACTGTTTGCGTGAAGCATTATAAAGACTTATCATTTTAGTAAGTGTTTTCTAAGCTTCTAAAAGGCATAGCATGTGTCAAAGCTATTGTGTCAAGCTAACATAGCAAGTTTGATCAGTGTACAGTTGCAACATGCACTTCAAATGTATTGTAATAATTTACCAAAACCTGGTTGTTACTTGAATTTCTTTTTATTTTCTTAACAAGTCTTTGGGCCCTATTTTAACGATCTGAAGCGCAAGTAACTTTGTGGGCGGGTCTTGGGCGCTGTTGCTATATTACCGGCGGGATAAATGACTCTTGCGCCCGACGCAAGTTTAAAAGGGGTTGGTCTGAAATAGCTTCATTATTCATAGGTGTGGTTTGGGCGTAACGTGAAATAAACCAATCAGAGCGTCATCCAACATACGAGCAGTGCGCATGTTGCATGGCGGATTTACCAGGCGCGCGCCAGGAGACCGACGTTCTTGTCAGGGCAGTGAAAGACAGAGAAGTGACGTTGTATAGGGATGGGAGATTTTTTTTTTTCCTGGTTCTTGACCGACAAACTAATTTGTCAGATGTCCTTATATAGCCTACATATGTGTCTTGCCACTATTGGGCAAACAGGTCTGATCAGTCATTACTACAATTAGCCTGAAAAATGTGGGTAAATGTGTAAGCTATTAGGCCTAGGCTACATTTTTTTACATCTTCATGGACACCACAATGATTTCCCTCATGTGTTAATATTTTTCCTAGTTATAATGTATGATTTGCAAAAATAAAAACTGCTGCATCTGTGTTGATGAGAGAATCAAAGTGTATGCGCGTTGTGCACCCGATACATTAGGGCCAAGCATGCGCGCTTAAAATAGCATTATGAACAACGCGCAACGCGCCACTGACTTTAGGTTTTTTCTAGTCAGAGGCGGAATTGTTTTCTGGAACTGCAAAATAGCTCTAGGGAATGTTTGCGTCGAAACACGCCTCCTTTTTGCGCCGACCCGCCCAGGGAGCGGAAGTTCATTTCCTAGTTTACCGACGTGCGTCTGTGAAGGGAAAAGCCCGCTTTGCGCGGGTGCAAAATAGGAATGATACATGCGTCAGTGTACAAAGTCATTTGCGCCGGGTGCAAGATAGGGCCCTTTGTCTTTATATAGACCCTGTCTGTACACAAGTAAAATAAATACATTTGAAAATGATGTTAAAGAATTATTTTATTAGGATAGGCCTATGTTAATGAATGTTGTAGCCGTCCCCTATGAGGTCAGTTGCAACATCTGACTTTATCTATTCAAGTATAATTGTACATACTGTATTATCATATCGTTAGCATAATTGCCTAAGTCATTTTGTGTTTTTTCTTGTTTTTCAAAGACATTGAAATATGACTTAGGCAATTATGCTATGAGGGCTGAGGCTAAAGATATGCACACATGTATAGCCGACAGATGTGGGTAGGCCTATTATTGTATAACATTTTGGCGTTGAGTCTCTGAGAAACTCAAGTAAAAACTAAAAGTGTAGCAACCCCACTCTCCCCTAAATAGACTATACATTATAGGCTATGTTATGATAATATATTGCATAGGTAGGCCTATACTACTTTAGCGTTTTAACAGTGTTTACGAGACAAGGTTTTAAAACCACAAAAGTAAGAAATATTATGTTCAATACGTTTCACCTGAAGAGGTTACTATAGCAACACGCTGCCGACACACCGTCAGTAGATCAGTAACCTGACGGTCTGTACAAAAAAAAGTAGCCTATTATACTTTATTAAAGGTTTGTATTAAACCTGCAATCTAAATAAAATGACTGGTAGCGATATGTGCCACACGACTTCCGCGACGCACGAGACGAACAAACCCATGATCAGAAACAGACCGACGTGAAGGAATAGTGAATAATTTGAACACTGCACGTAATCAATGACATGCTATCGCTCCTCGAGGCGCTAATAGAGTTGGGAGTCGGGACACCCAGGACCAGGCGACCAGCCCTTCCCATACGATTTGTGCACCCAGCGGCGACGGCGCTCATTCTGCACACCACAGAGAGAGAGGAGCGATAAAATGAGCAAAAGACGTTAACTGTAAGAGCATGTGTGATCAATAATTAAGCGTTTATTATGCGGGTCTCTCCGTCGCACTGAGATGCGGTAAAGCTATAACCGGTGCGGGCGGCGCGCTTGCTCTTGATGTCAGCTGTGCTCAGGCCAGAACAGGTTGGTGGACCTGGTTTGGATGAAACAGTCACGGTCACGGGGATTATTATTATTCTAGCCAGAGGGGCAGAGGTTTAATACTTCCTGGATTATAACTCTGTCGTAATCGGAACGGGCTAGTAGAGCAACGCGCTGCTGATATTGTGCACCCGTTTAAACGCTTCATTTAAATATAACACTGTTGCGGAACTTTTGACAGCTGAACTAGGCTATATTAGAGTTTTTGATTTACCTTAATCCACACATCCTCAAAGTGGTCTTTTCTGAAGAAGCACGTGTGTTAGAGAGGTATGATGCAGTGCCTAACACAGCTCTGATTCTCGAGAACAAATTTGGCCCGTTTTCACCGCTGTTTCATATGGGCGAAGCGAGAACTCGGTTCCCTTCATGTTGGACATGGGCTCGCTGTCAAGATGGGGTGTCCGATCCGGAGCGGGAGAAACGATGGGCAGAACTGTTCGATCAGCTGGATCTGAATAAAGATGGGAGGATCGACGTGAATGAACTGCGCACCGGATTAACCGCACGGGGGATCCTTCGCGGTGAGGTGGTGGACGAGGTGGGTCCGGGACGTTAATAGTTGTTCACCCTAAACATGCTGTAGCCAAGTTATGATGAATGGCAAACATCTGAAACCTCAGCACATCATTTATTTATTTTATTTTTGATAAGACCAAACGAGAACTTAAGCTTATTTCAGCAGGAGGAAATCCAGCATATAGCTACTTGTAAGGACCAAGGACAAAATGATCCCGTGTAATTTATTTAAGAGTTAGACTTTCCACGCTGCAATATTGACAAACCTCCAGACTAATTGTGTTGCTTGTGTAGGGCAGACCTGAAAGTGTTGAAAAACAGGGCGAGATTTGACGTCATAAATTTAACCTTGTGGTTCTCAATCAGGGGGCCTGGGAATAGATAGATAGATAGATAGATAGATAGATAGATAGATAGATAGATAGATAGATAGATAGATAGGGGCCAGGGCAAAAATACTTTTTTTAAAGTATTTAAATTAATAATTAATATACATAAATAAGCTTGTAAACTGCATCATATTTCTTTTTATTTTTCCTCAGTAACTTGTTTTAAATGAAGAATGTAAGTTCTGAAATACAGAACATAACTTCTGTAATCACAAAATGGATTGTGGTTAATTAATTTTCAAGTAGCCTACCTTTATCATAATTATCTCAGCGTAGATAATTGAATATTGTGTTGGACAACAGGGGGCCTTCGAGTCAAAAATGTTGAGAACTACATGTTCAAAAATAAGAAGTGTTGCTGACCAGATGCAGTAGCACCTCATTGCAGTACACGAGATCCAGGGGGCGGAGTTGGATCCAGATCTAAGGGGTGGAGTTGGGTAGGATTAGGGGTGGGGTTAGGGATCAGGGGGTGGAGATGGGTAGGTTTAGCTATACGTAAGGTGGGAGGAGTTGGATCTGGATCCAACTCCTCCCCCTGGATTTCGTGTTCTGCAGTGAGGACCATCTCACCAGATGGGGAATGTTGAATAACGCCTCTAGATCAACTTGGCAGCATAAAAGATTGCACAAAATAAAACATGCACAATGTTATAATTTTTTTTAGAGTTTAATAGCATATAGTAAATGAGATTATTAAAATTGATGCACTGATGCAATTTAAATTAATGTTTAAATATTAGTCTTGCATCCCCACTGTTGGTTTTGTGGTCCAATTCTGCACTTTTGTTTTAACATTAATTTACACAGTTTAGGCAGAGGTTGTACATTTAAAATAAATATATTTTAACACATAGAGGGCAAATATGAGATAGTTTTATAAAAAAAATAGGCACAATTAGTGCAAAATATCAGATCTACAGATGTTGAAACAAAATGTGTGGCGCTGCTATTTTAGAAAGTGATGTCAGGTGATCCAATCATATACCATAAACAGCATAAATCTACACCACTGGGTTAGGATGCCTGAGTTCAGGGAATGTAAGTGTACTTGATCAACACACTGGCAAGGGAAATTGTTTGAAATATTGACAATTTATTCACTGATAATCTTTTGTATGGTCTGTATACTTATTGGTTCCACTGAAACCATCTTTTACAAGACTGCAGGATATTTGTTGACTTGATACAAGCACAATAATCACTGGTTGGCATTTCAACTTGAGTTGAGATAAGTGCAAAATTTAAATTGATGCCCAAATTAAACAGTGCTCATATTGAGATCTTAATGCCATTTAGGCTACCTGAAATTTAAATTTTTCTTAAACTTACAACAACAAATATTGAGCACCAACATTTACATTTTCACTCCTGTTATAAACAGCTTCCTTCTTGCCAAAGCGACTTGAAAAACAGTGCATATGTTGTGTTGTGATGATTACTTCAGCAGGTAGTTAAGGATCGAGTCCTAAGATGAAACCATGAAAGTGCCATTAAGAAAGTAACTTGGAGCAACACTATATGCCAGTGGTACGTCTGTGCTGTTGGGTTGTGTGACTGTGTTAGTCATGTGCTGTGATGTAAGAAGAGAGATTAGCTCTTGTTCACAATGTGTTTGCGATTGGAGCCGCCAGACTACTGGCAGGGCTTTGCACACAAACAGAAACCTTGCATCTATAAGCTCAGAGCAATGCCTCTTTCTCTCTCTCTCCTTTTGCTTTCTGTTAGTTTCTCTTTGTTCCTCATTCTACACAGGTATGACCACAGATGCAGACAGTGTTAAATCAAGTTCACATATAACTCCTCCATCAAACCCTCACAATCGTGTCCTTAACTGCACTTCTCACCCCCTCCACCCCTCAGATTGTACGTGTGAGTGACACCAATCATGACGGCCAGCTGGACATTGAGGAGTTCACACGGTATCTGCGCACACACGAGAAAGAGCTCCGACTAATGTTCCACAGCCTGGACCGCAACAACGATGGTCTGCATTATCCTTTCACACATTATAATGTTAACACACACGACATCACTGTAACTGCTACCTCATAATACTTCAATGCACATTTTCTTTTTGCACTATTGCTTTTAAAGTGTTGATATAACTTTTGTGTTTCTTTGTCTAGTATATGTTGTCATAGTATCATTCCAAAGTTTGGGGTCAGAAATGTTATTTTTTGAGAAAAAGATAAATTAAGGTTGTCCGATTCATTTTGATTGTCCACTTTAGACATTCTAACTATAAATAACTTTGCAACTACATGTCAACCTACTCTCATTAGAGTATTAGTAGACTGTCTGCTTAACATCTGCTAACACCCTATTTTGATGATCTCTCAACAGACATTCTACTGACAATAAGTTAATTTTCAAGTGAATGTGTCAACTTGTTCAACTCAAAACCCTAACCTAAATCAGACATGGGCAGTATTTCAAATAAATGTATTTTAAATACGTATTTAATTACTTTAGTGTATTTTGTAATTTGTATTTTGCAGGTGTGGAAAAAATAAAATGTAGTTTGTAACAAAATATTTTGAGGGAGTGTATTTAGAGTATTTTAAATACTTAAATACTTAATAAAAATCACCATAGTAAAAGATTTGGCCATATTTTCGGTCTGATGTTGGCAATGGCAATGTCCAGGTTAGATGCACGAAAATCACGTGACACCCTGTGAACCGGGCTCCCTCCAAGAAGTGAATGAGTTTTGAACACAGGAGAAGAAGTGGCGCTGCTCCTCTTAAAAACGGCATTAAAGGTGCTATCAGCGATTTCAGGCCCAAAAAAGGCCGAAACATAAATGATCACATTCATCTAATTTTTCCTAGCGATCCGCTAGCTGCCCGCCCCATAAGCATGCCATCCAAAAACCGCATCTCTGTAGGCAGCCTACGCTCTGAGATCTGCACACAAAAACAATGGGTTTCACCAACCACCAAAACCTAAATAAACAGTGTTCCAACCAATCACCGACTGTGTTGCGACAGGGGGTGGGTGTTGTGAGGTTTTGCTCCGACTTCGCGTGCAGCCGTGCACGAGTGCAAAACCTCACAACACTGTCGGTGATTTCCCCCTAGGAAAAATTAAATGAATGTGATAATTTATGTTTCGGCCTTTTTTGGGCCTGAAATCGCTGATAGCACCTTTAAAGGAGAACTCCGGCGCAAAATGAACCTTTGGTCTAATAAAACATTGGTACCTAGTCAACCGTTCTCTGAGATTTGTTTCTCAGATTTGTTCCCCCATTACTAGCGTTATACGCTAAACAGTTTTTAGAGATAAAACTCTTTACATTCGATTATCATGAAAACAAATCTCAGAGAACGGTTGACTAGGTACCAATGTTTTATTAGACCAAAGGTTCATTTTGCGCCGGAGTTCTCCTTTAAGGCAGGGGCGTAGAATTTAGTAGGGATGCTAGGGACGTGTCCCTACCAATATCCAGTGACACTGATATATCCGTAGCAATAATTTCGATCAAAACTTAATATATATTTATACATTGATGTCCTCGTCCCCACCAATTTCAAAATGAAACCTACGCCACTGCTTTAAGGTAAAGTGTTTTGTGAAAAATATACAGTCTACACACACACATATTGCACACTGAATGGCATTATAGAGAAAATAATTGTGCCTTATGAGATCAATGCACTGTGTTGTCATTCATAAAAGGACATCATAGGCCCTACCTATTATGAAACAGCGCATCTGTCGTAACTCCACTGAAATCTCCATGCTAAGCAAGCGTTCACAATATAAACGTATTACATATGAGAAATATTGATATTGATTTTGTATAAAACTACCACACCATTGATGTGAACTTAGCTATACATGCCATTTACGTCAGAGGGAGCTATTTCAGGCCCTGTAGAGATTTAGTGAAATGCCCATACTTTTTTATTTTGCTACTTCGCCATTTTGAATTTACACATTTATCATATTTGTGTTATTGCTACTATTTGTGTTATTGACCTTTCAGTAATAAAAAAAAAAGACTTAAGATTATTGTGGGAGTATTTTTGTATTTTCAAAATACTAATTACTTGTATTTTATTTAAATACATTTTTCACATCAGTATTTTGTATTTTATTTTGTTACATTTCATGAGCCAGTATTTGTATTTTGTAACAAAATAGTTTTTGATGTATTTGTGCCCACCTCTGACCTAAATATCTATTAATACTCTAAGAGGTAGTTGACATGTAGTTTCAAATTAATTAGAGTTAATTGACATATTATTATATCTAAAGTGAACTATCAAAATAAAGTGTAACCAAGATATCTATTTTAAACAACTGCTGTTCTTTTGAACTTACTGTTTGTCAAACAATTCAAAAATGAATCACGTTTTTTTCTAAAAAATATTAGGAAGCACAACTGTTTTAAACATTGATAATGATAAGGAAATTTTTTTCTTGAGCACCAAATCATCATATTAGAATGATTTCTGAAGGATCATGTGACACTGAAGACTGGAGTAATGATGCTGAAAATTCAGCTTTGACATCACTGGAATAAATTACATTTTAAAATATATAAAAATAAAAGTTATTTTGAATTGTAATAATATTTCACAGTTTTACTGTATTTTTTTTTTTTTGATGAAATAGGTAGCCTTGGTTAGCCTTGGTGAGCCTTGGGGGCAGTTGTGGCCCAATGGTTAGAGAGTTGGACCTGTAACCTGAAGGTTGCGGGTTTGATTCTCAATACTGGCAGGAAATAGCTGAGGTACCCTTGAGCAAGGCACCCAACCCCCAATCGCTCCTCGGTTCCACAGTGAATGGCTGCCCACTGCTCTGAGTGTGTGCACTAACTTAATGCAGAGGACAAATTCTGAGTATGGGTTAACATACTTGGCTTTCACATGTCACTTCATAAGAGATCTGTTTTGAAAAATCTTACTGACCCCAAATTTTGAACAATAGTATATCCTCTGCGGAATATATATAGAATAACCATTAAAGTATTTTATACCTCAGGTCACATAGATGTTGCAGAAATTCAACTCTCCTTGCACAGCCTTGGGGTGAATGTGTCCACAGAGCAGGCCTCCAGAATCCTGCAAAGGTTAGAGCACTTCAGCTTTTCAGTTTTTATTTTTTTAGTGCTTGATCAATGTCGTGTACACAACTACTTCCCACTCTGGCTGTGTTTTCAGAAGACTTTGAGATGTTTCTGCGAAGCCCACGTGTTGAGTCACACAGCTTCAATAGGCATAGAAAAGCTTGTTTTAACTACTCTATATTCCTTTTTGTGTCTCAGCATAGACAGAGACGGCACGATGACCATTGACTGGAATGAGTGGCGAGACCACTTCCTGTTTAACCCCTTGCACAACATGGAGGACATTGCCCACTACTGGAAACACTCTCTGGTTTACTTACAGCTCTTTTCAGAAATTAGACTGTAGGCTTGATATTCATTATATATTTTAGAATGTAAACTTCATCTGTCTTTTGAATTTGTAATGTTTGTGTGTCAGATGTTGGACATTGGAGAACAACTGACTGTGCCCGATGAGTTTTCGGAGAAGGAGCGACGTTCAGGTGTGGTGTGGAGACAGTTGGTGGCCGGGGCAATGGCAGGAGCCGTTTCGCGAACAGGAACTGCTCCTCTGGATCGTCTTAAAGTTTTCCTTCAGGTTCAGTCAGTTCTTAAAGAGGCCTTATTATGCCCCTTTACAAAGTCTTGATTTTATTTGTGGGGTCTACTAAAATAGGTTTTCATGCTTGAATGTTCAAAAAACATTATTACCTTGTTGCAGCACCTCTCCTCCCAGTCTCTCAGTAATGCTCTGTTTAGTTCCTGTCTTTATGAAGCCCCTCCGCTCTGATTGGTCAGCTGGTCAACAAACGCTTTAAGTGTGTTTTGAAAATGTCACGCCCCTTACCATAACCGTGAATTTCAACACACCATTAACTCAACTCAACCAGGCCTTGCTCCTTTTTTTGCGATTGCCTTGGGCGGGAATTATTTAAATGAGCAATATTGTGACGTGTTAACAGCAACATTACACACTAAAGAAAGTTGAAAATGTAAAAAATCATAATAGGTTCATAATAGGTCCTCTTTAAAAGTGTTAGAATGAAGTTTTGTCTCTATGAATTATTGTTGTATCAAAGAAACTCTACAAATAAATCCTTTGTTGGCACTGGCAGTTGTGAAAAGTACATTACTCGTAATGAAAGGAGTGTGAACTGAGTGGGTTTTCAACAGGTCCATGGCTCAAGTGGTGTGAGTTTGTTGGGTGGCTTGCGTGGAATGGTGCAGGAGGGAGGACTGAAGTCCCTTTGGAGAGGCAATGGCATCAACGTCCTCAAAATTGCCCCGGAGTCAGCTATCAAATTCATGGCTTATGAGCAGGTAAACAAACCAGACTACAGTAGCTACACATTTTAAACCACTCTGTTTTAAGCAGCATATTGTCTAATATTAGTTAACAATTTCAAATGTCTTGTGTAGATCAAATGGCTGATCAGGGGCAGTAGGGAAGGTGGCTCTCTAAGGGTTCAGGAACGTTTCATTGCTGGCTCACTGGCTGGAGCTACTGCTCAAACCATCATCTACCCCATGGAGGTAAGAGGAGGGAGTGAGAGACATGAAGAGACTTTCAATTTTCAACTATATAAGTAATGTAACCACAGACCTTTTTTCAAAACCCATTAGGAATTCCTGAATCCTTGGTAAATTAGCCTTCTGGGTTGGCCTACAAATTGACATCAAGACTAAATGGCTATAAGACCTGAAGAATTAATTTGCTTTACTTCTAAATGTTGTCTTTTTTTATCATAAGCACTTCTACAGAAATTGTATAAAGTAGATAGATATAAACAAAAAAAGATCTGTCCCAGTTTTAGACTATGGACAAAATAGGACTGAAAAACTTCAGTATAAGCTGTCAAACTGATATTATAATTATAGATAGATAGACACTAGTACAGTAAAATATACATTTATAATGTTAAAAAAGATTTCTATTTCAAATAAGTGCTGTTCTTTTGAAATTGAATTTCTATTCATCAAAGAATCCTGAAAAAATGTGTCCCAGTTTCTACAAAAAATATTAAGCAGCACAACTGTTTTCAACATTGATAACCAGAAATGTTTATTGAGTATTAAATCATCATATTAGAATGATGATGATGATTATCATGTGACAAGGAGTAGTGATGCTAAAAATTCAGCTTTGACATCACAGAAATAAATTACTTTTTAAAATATATTCAAATAGAAAACAGTTTATTTTACTACAGAAAAGGAAACTCAACTCATATTTTGGATTTTCATAACAAAACAGTTACACTTACAATGGAAGTACAGGGGAGAGGCAGTAAATATTGAAATGCACACTGTTTTAAAAGTATAACCAAAGTATATGTGTACTATGCTATTATTGATACCTGGATGATTTGGATTATCAAATTAAATCTTGTATTTGACCTGGAACATTACTTTAATGGTCTTACTCATATAATGTCTGGCAGTAAAGGTATCCTATTGTCTTACATTTACATTTACATTTACATTTAGTCATTTAGCAGACGCTTTTATCCAAAGCGACTTACAACTGAGGACTAAACCAAGCGAGTCATCGTGAAGAGGCAAAAGCAACGCAAGAAGTGCTCAAAATACAAAGTTCAGACATAGCTCGGAGTAGCATAAGCCAGGCAAGCGAGGATTTAGAGGAAAGGATTTTTTTTTTTTTTTTTTTTTTTTTATGTTAAGTGCTCCCGGAAGAGATGAGTTTTCAGTTGTCTTTTGAATGTTGTCAGGGATTCTGCATTCCGGATGAGGGTGGGGAGATCATTCCACCAGCATGGAACCGTGAATGAGAATGTTCTGGAGAGTGATTTTGTGCCCCGCTGTGATGGTACCACGAGCCGTCGCTCATAGACCGATCGTAGGCTTCTGGTAGGGATGTAGACTTGTAGTAGTGAGTGGAAGTAGGAGGGAGCTGAACCTGTGGTCAATCTGTAAGCAAGCGTCAAAGCCTTGAACTTGATGCGAGCAGCGAGTGGTAGCCAGTGCAGAGAGATGAACAGAGGAGTGACGTGGGCCCTTTTGGGCTCGTTGAAGACCAGACGAGCTGCAGCATTCTGGATCATTTGTAGAGGTTTAGTTGCACATGATGGAAGTCCAGCCAGAAGAGCATTGCAGTAATCAAGCCTAGAAATGACCAGGGCCTGGACGAGAAGTTGTGTTGCATGCTCAGTTAGGAAAGGCCTGATCTTCCTGATGTTGTGCATAGCACAACATCAGCGCAAGTAGTTTTTTCAGCTGCTAATGTAAAGGACAAACACTAGAGAATCATTTAACAGGGGAAGCTGTTTAACAAAGCTGTTCCAAATTGCTGGTTGCCTGTTTACTCGTGTTGTTCTAAATGTTCAAAGAGTCGAAAATGAGCTGGGCCTAGTTAACAAATACAGATTGTCTTTCTATTCCTGGTGTGCTTAAATGCAGAAAACAAGTTTCTTTTTTTAGGTTCTGATATTTATTTAATGAGGCAGATCAGTTCACATTTTGGAAGCCAAATCCTCTAATTATTTATTTATTTATTTAGAGATCTTGGAAGGAGTTTCTGCAGCTTAAAGTTAAAGTTACCTCAAACTTATATTTCTCAATATTCTCTTTAATTTTTTTTTTTTTTTAAACTTTCTATATGTTTACTCTGTTCCTTCCCAGGTGTTGAAGACACGTCTAACCCTCCGAAAGACAGGACAATATTCTGGCATGGCAGACTGTGCCAAACAGATACTGCGTAAAGAAGGAGTGCGAGCGTTCTACAAAGGCTATGTGCCAAACACACTTGGCATCATCCCTTATGCTGGCATTGATCTGGCTGTCTATGAGGTATGGCTGTGTGTGTGTATTTTAACACATTTAAGTGTTTGCGAATGCCTGCTGCCACTGACAGGCTGTGGGAATTTATCATTCTCAGTTGCAATGGTTGGTAAAATAAAATGTTTTGTATTTTACGTTGCTGTGCAATTTTCTATTTCTAACAACTCACAGGTCTTTTTTCAGGTGATTGTATTATTAATCCCATGTCATTGTTTGCCATGTGACAAAAACGTTTTATTTGGCCAAGGACAAACGTTTTTGTCACACGTTTTTGTTTGTATTTAGTTCCCTTCTGATCAGTCAGTCTTTGTCCGTTCTCCGTTGTATTTAGGGTGTGTGTACCTTCTGACTGTCTGTACCAGTTTAAGTTATATTATTGAAAGTAAAACGCTTTGCTTTGGAACTTTGGACTCCGCATCTTCTTCTGCCTGCACCACACCGTGACACATTTAAAATAACTGATTAAAATTTATTAAAAAAAATAAATAAAAAAATTGATGTAAGGGATAATCTGGGTTTGTTTCTGTTTTTGGTGGGTTTGTCGTGTGTTTTAGTTCTTTGTCATAGTTTGCAGTTAGTTTCTATGGTTTTTCATTGTTTGATTACTAGTTACACCTGTCGTTCATTTCATTGATTTGTTTGTCTGATTATTTAAGCCGAGTGTTTCTTTCAGTTCATTGTCTGTTCTCATCACATTATTCTGGTTGTTTCGTTCATGTTTCGATTAGATGTGTTCTGAGTATTTTGTTTTGAGTTTGAATTGAATAAATCTACAGTTGCAGCGAATAGATCCATATATGTATAGATAATGACATATATCAACAATATCGTTTTTGTATAATATTATATTTAGAAATGTATTAAAAAAAATATATCCGAAACATATTTATATCCCTCTTCTCTGTTATTTTGACAGACTCTAAAGAATGCTTGGCTACAGCGGTACTGCATGGGCTCGGCTGATCCTGGGGTTTTGGTGCTGCTCGCATGCGGCACTGTGTCCAGCACATGTGGGCAACTGGCTAGTTACCCGCTGGCTTTAATCCGCACACGCATGCAGGCTCAGGGTGAGCGAGAGGAAATGCAATGTTATTCTGATTATGTTGTGATTTTAATTTTTTTATTTTATATGAAACCCATAAAAAATGTTCACAAGAATGAAAATATTTTAAATGAAAATACAACCTCAACCCTTTCTTCTGGATAGCCTCAGCAGATGGTGTTCCACAGCTGTCAATGGTTGGCCAGTTCAAGCACATTGTGTCCCACGAAGGCGTTTCTGGACTTTACCGTGGCATTGCCCCCAATTTCCTCAAAGTCATTCCTGCTGTTAGCATCTCTTATGTGGTTTATGAGCATATGAAGAAAGCACTGGGAGTGGGATCCTAAGGCAGAATCAGAGTGAAGAAGAAAGAGAGAACCTGTATTTAAAAAAGGAGCATTAGTGGGGCACAGAGGACCCCTAGAGAACAGGATAAGGAAGCTATAGTCAATGAATGACCTAAAAACCTACTCTACATCATACACAATTACATTCCCATTGCAATTCATACTTCAATAGGATGAAAAGACAGTTTTGGGCTGATGCAATCATTAAGAACAATGGTTGTGTTTAGAGTATGTTTCTCTTTGACTGGCAGCTTGTAGATCTCAGGTTTATTGTGCACTATAAACAGCTTCTTATCTTCAAAGGTGAACACCATACATAGTTCTTCATTTTACATGGAATGTAATGTCATTGGCGTAATTATAAATGTGGGGTAAGAAACTAATAGGTAATGAAAGACATCTAATGACAGAGAATGATGGTGAAATAGTAGGCCTATTGCAGTATTATATTTTTTATAAATGACAACCAAAGTTTCCCTCCTAAAATTGACCAAAATATTGAAGATATTGATCACTTTCCTGACTGATCTTTCATAACATTTACGAATGAGTGATAAATTGTAAAGCATGATGTTTCTGCAGGGATTTACTTTATTGTATGACTTTTTGTATTTTTGTAAAGGTCAGCGAGAGTTAAGCATGTCATATGCTACAATTGAATGATCAAGAATTTGCACTCTTCAAATGATTGTGGAATTATTTATATCTTAAACTGGACCATGATGGTATTTTATGACATTCTGCTGCTTTGCTTTTTACAACTTTTTTTTGTACAAAATTTTCTGATATTTCAGACCTCGTTGTATAGAGTAAAATACAGTAAAATTTAGTGTTGCCTTGAACAACTTGCAAATGGCGCAACAACAAGGGCATTAGATAAGATGGGGACAGGGCTGTTTCTAGAGGGGAGAAAGGTGGTGACTACAACAACCTGCACTGGGGCCCCGAAGATCCAAGCTGCGGCCCTGGATGGGGAGTTTACCAGTAAAGTTGTGCATTAGATTGGGATGCTTTGTGTTTATTAAGGAATGTGCTATGGTGAATGATAAAAAATGTGGCTCAAAGTAGTATTAATCTGTTCACAAAGGGCTTTTGGTAGTGCATGATGTCAGTGTCACAAGTTGCATGTTTTACGTGTTTTAAGAGCTCTGATTGTCCATATCAAAACATGCAAAGCACTGTTAGGCCTATATTTAAAACTGACAAGAAGTGCATGTTTATTTAACATAAAACATGACTGCTGTTACCAGACTCTAAATCAGAAACACATTAACTACTCGATGCTACTAGATTATACAGGACTAAACAACAAAAAACAAAGTCATTTGTTTGGTTCTGTAAAGAATGAACTAATTACAATTTTTGTATCACATGTCATTTTATAGACTATAGTGGGTATTCAATCCTACTCCTGAAGGTCCTTGGGCCAGTTGCATAAACTGCTAAGACTAGTCTTACAAGTTAGTCATCAATTTTTTTTTCTTAAAGACCGTTTATAACTTTTTTAAGTCAGTCACATGAAAATGTACATTTGATACTCAAGAGTACAACTGACTGTCCCTTGATTAACTGCAAGTGGTTCATACTAGATCTTAAGACACTGTTTTAACTGGTTTAGCTGCATCTAAGCTGAATCACAATATTCCAATGCATGCCTGGCTTTTTACTTTTTTAATATGACATAAGGGTTTAGGGATAAATACTGTTTGAAAGTAGTATTTTGAGAAATACATTTATAACTTATTTTAGAAAATAATTACCTCTGGAAACTTTTTTTTTGCTTTTATGCATTGCATTGAGAGTAGTGTGCCTTGATATGCTGTGTTCACTTTAAAATATGTGCATGCTGTGTAGCCAGTCTGGCAACGATTCCCTGCTTTTCCATGTATAAGTGAGAATAAATACATTTGAGAGGTTATTAAATATATACAGTACAAAATAAAACGTTTTACGCAAATACCTGTCTCAGAAACAAAATTTCCTTTCAAATGTTGTCATTCAAATCAAAAGGCCATTAAAAACAGATAATACTGACTGAATTATGGGTGGAGACAAGGGAGTGTTGTAACGCAGGGTCAATTGTAACACTGTCGGAAAAGAGCTATAGAGATGTCATCAATATCAGACACAATCACCAATTTTAAGCTCACAGGAGAAGTGGCATGTGACTGAGCAACATTGTAGATTTTATGATAAAAAACAACAACTGATTTTCAGGAAGGAAAATCAAAATTATTTTTTGCCTAGAAATTGTATTATAAGATAGCCTACAATTATTTGACTTGCATTAGGCTACCTAAAATAGCTGTTTCTCTAGTTTAATTTGATGCTTTGCATTCTAACTTCAAACCCACATGCTAAAACAGTATTTATGCTTGGGGTGGGGAAAGTTGTAATAGTTCATTAAAAATTTAACCGACCCCTTATACTGATTCCAATGAGTCCAGTTACCAATTGCATCCTTTCCTAAGGCGAAGTCACTTGAGTTTTTTGTTGCACATCAATGGATTATGGTTTATGCATGTCTTCTTATCAGGTAAAAAAACATTAACCGCCTCATTAGAGCACATAGTTTTTTTGTGCACATCTTTAGAATGTATGCGCACAGGGCAGGACTTAGGGGGCTGGGGGCCCCTGGGCTTGAGTTTATGTTTGGGCCCTATACGGTATACAAACATCATTATGGAGAAGCACAAATTACACAAAAATTTAAATATGCTTTGAGGTTCCTACAACAATTAATATGCAACATATAGTCAAAGTGTAGTGGTAGGCTAATTTTAAATAGTCATTATAATACAATATAATGCAGGATGTGCTCTCTAGGTTGAGATAAGATCAAAACTCTAATAATAAAGCCAAGAGAAAACAGTATTTTTTTTTATTCATTGTCATAGCTATCTGTCAGATTCTTAAATTTAGTCAACAAATTCAATCAGAATACAAAGACACGCTGAATGGCTTATTATGACCAAATAAAAGGAAGTCGGAAGTATCAATAAAATCCATTTTTGGATTGACACAGGCTGTTTAGACATGGCATGTATGGATTTATAATTGCATAAATTATGTTAAGAGATTAATGTTTTAAATGTGAAAATTTTAATGTAAAAATATGAAATGATTGAGAAAAATTAACTATGAAACCATTTTAACTATCAAACAAACACCGCCAGTAGGTGGCGGCAAATCTCCATCTTAATGAGGGAGTTGGATCCTTTATTCAACCGATTCGTTCAAAAATCCTAATTCGTTTAATCTAGCAAACGACTGTATGTATGAATGGGTAGCCTAATTGAACCATTTACTTGTCTGATTCTATCAAAAATTAAGATTTTTTGAGGAACAAAACACGTGTTACTCGGAGGCGCAGCGGTTCAGCTGTTTGTTCTGTTTTCTTTGATTGAACTGATGTCACATTTGCGATTGTGCAGATGTTCGGAAAATCAGCGCTCTTGCTGGTGTGATAACTCACATATCATAGGCTCGTGTTTTAAAAAATATTAAACGGGAACTCGTTAGGCCTAATTTTTTTTTTTTTTTTATTGATGATAACCTATATAACCTGATATTCCTATTGTGATGGCAGTGGAGAGAGCGCTCAAAATTCTCCAGAGCACATAATTTTGTGAAAAAAAAAAAAATAGAAATTATCATTCTCTTTAAAGCAACGAGACGTGAACATATGATAATTTATCAAGATTTTTCTAAATGTGCGCTCTTTTGGACTAAAAGCCCAATTGATGCTGTTTAAAGTAGCCGATCGCAATGGAGCAGATGCAGATCAACACGCGTGTTATTCTTTGTGATAAATATCAGGTTGCGCCGTTTGATTATAGCCTCTGTGTCGGGATGTTAATACTACATTACCCATAAGGCTTTGGGGAGTGTATGACGTAATGTGTGCGACGCAGTGGTGGGGGAGTTGTCAGATGAATACTGGAAGAATTGCACATGGTGTTGTTGAGTGAGCTGTTGCTCTCAATAAATCATAATAGAACATATACCTGTTGTGAGCGTATATGTGACATGGTGTCAGAAGTTCGTCGTACCCGCTAACCAAACTGAAAGGGATGTCGTTGTTTCAAGCTCCAGAACCGTTCGATTTTAGCCAGCCCTCCACATGGCCTCTGTGGATCCAACGCTTCGCGCGATTTCGGATTGCTACAAAGTTGGATAAAGAGGACGGTGGGGTTCAAGTAAACTCACTGCTATACGCTATGGGGATGGAGGCAGAGACAATATTCGCCTCGTTTCGGTTCGCGGAGGCCGCCCATTCCAGCGATTATCAGCAGGTAGTGGACAAGTTTAATGAACACTTCATACCGCGCAGAAATATAATACATGAACGTGCAGTCTTTCACCAACGGTCGCAAAAGACCGGTGAATCAGTCGAAGCTTTTGTTAGAGGACTGTATGAGCTGGCGGAGCGTTGTGAATTTGGAACACAGAGAGACGAACACATTCGCGACAGACTGGTTATTGGAATAGCCGACCGTGGTGTGTCACAAAGACTTCAGATGGAAAGCGATTTGACACTTGAGAGAGCAGTGCAGATGGCACGACAGGCAGAGCTCGTAAAAACACAAAATTCGGCAGTGGTGATGTCTGTTGAAGTGGCGGAGTTGCAGCAGCGGCATAGAGGTAAACACCGCGATACTGGTAAGAGAATAAACAAGAAGGGACAGCACGGGGATAAACAAACAGAAGATAAACTGTGTTCACGTTGCAATAGATGTCATGGGCCACGTGACTGCCCCGCATATAATAAGCAATGCCGTAAATGCAGTAAACTCGGGCACTTTGCTGCTGTCTGCCAAAGCAAGGCTGTGAGAGCTGTACAAGTGCGATACAGCGATAATGATGACTGTGAAGCATACTTTCTGGGCAGTATTGAGAAAAGTGATTCAGAGTCTGACTGGCTGGTGAGTCTTCCTGTGTGTGGTAAACCAGTAACCTTTAAAATTGACACGGGGGCTGACATCACGATTATGTCCAATGACACTTACCAAAGTCTACCACAGCGCCCTCCGTTGAACAAAACTGCAATACAGCTTAACAGTCCCGGTGGCGATGTGAAAGCAATAGGGAAATTTTTTGCTGAGACTGAAAGAAATGCAGCTCGTCACCAATTTTGGATTTATGTAGTCGATGGACGTTATTCAAATAACCTTCTCAGCAGAAGTGCGGCCTGTGCTATGAGACTGGTAGCCAGAGCAGACCACATTCGGGCAGAAGTATTCGGGGAAATTGGCTGTCTGAACTGCAAGCCGATAAAAATTGAATTGAAGTCAGATGTACAACCCTACAGTTTAGCAACACCACGCAGGGTGCCTTTTCCATTGATCCAGAAGGTTGATGAAGAGCTACAGCGAATGCAGTCCATGCAGATAATACGCGAAGTTACACAGCCCACTGACTGGTGCGCTCCAATGGTCCCAGTAGCCAAGAAAAATGGCAAAGTCAGGATATGTGTAGACTTAAAGCGCCTCAACAAAGCAGTGAAAAGAGAAAAATTCATGCTACCCACCCTGGAGGATGTTGCTGTTAAGCTGTCAGGGGCTAAATTGTTCTCAACGCTTGACGCATCATCTGGATTTTGGCAGATCCCATTGGACTGCAATAGTTCAATGCTTACGACGTTTATCACTCCAAGAGGCAGATTTTGCTTTCAGAGACTTCCCTTTGGGATCACATCAGCTCCTGAGATCTTTCAGAGGGAGATGACCAAGCTGCTGGAGGGACATGAGGGCTGTGTAGTGGTTATGGACGATGTGCTGGTGTATGGCGGAGACCAAGAGACACATGATAAGAATCTGGAGGCGGTTTTGCAGACAATCCTGGAGTCAGGACTGAAGCTCAATAAAGACAAATGCCATTTCAGTAAGACAGAGCTCCGTTTCTTTGGGCACATCATTAGCAGTGATGGCGTAAAACCCGATCCAGATAAAGTCAAAGCGATTACAGACCTGCCATGCCCCAAAGACATCACCCAACTCCGACAAGTGCTAGGTATGGTAAATTACCTCGGAAAGTTTCTACCTGATTTGTCCACGGTATTGCACCCACTCAACGAACTGCTCAAGAAAGATTCTGCATGGCTGTGGGACACGCAACAGCAGCAGGCCTTTAGCAAAATAAAGGCAATGCTTTCCTCTGCTCCAGTATTAGCTTTCTATGACGTCACAAAACCTACCATTGTGTCCGCGGATGCCAGCAGTTTCGGACTGGGTGCCACTCTGTTGCAAATCCATGGCGACAAGACACTTCCTATAGCTTTCTGCTCCAGAACCTTATCCTGTGCTGAATTGAAATACTCTCAAATAGAGAAAGAATGTCTGGCTGCGGTTTGGGCATGTGAGCGGCTTTCCTGTTATCTACTGGGCCTGGGTGAGTTTACACTGCAAACGGACCATAAGCCCCTGGTTCCCCTGATTAACACTTATGATCTGGACAAAACACCCTTGCGCTGTCAACGTCTGCTAATGCGCCTGATGCGTTTCAACGTGAAAGCCATCCATGTCCCAGGCAAGTCATTAGTTGTGGCGGATACCCTGTCACGCAACCCCATAACAGAGTCAGAGGTTTCAGACACCGAAGAGGATGTGCGAGCTTATGTGGAGGCCGTGATACAGACCCGGCCAGTGTCAGAGCCCAAGTTGAATGCAATTCGTGAGTCCACTTCCAACGACCCGATTATGAGGAAGGTAATGCGCTTTATCAAAGAAGGTTGGCCACACCACGTGCCGTCGGAGCTCATAGCTTACCATGCGGAACGAGCATCATTGTCCAGGGCTGAGGGACTACTCTTACATGGCGACAGGATCGTAGTTCCCACCGCACAACGACGAGATATCCTTGACCGATTGCATGAAGGTCACCAAGGGCTAAACAAATGTAGAGAACGAGCAAAAATGTCAGTTTGGTGGCCTGGCATCGGGGCGGATCTTTATGCAAAGATATCTCAATGTGTCTTCTGTCACGAGCACAGACCTACCCAGAGAAAGGAGCCCTTGGTCACCACTCCACTTCCTCCCAGCGCCTGGCACACGATTGGAGCAGATCTGTGTGAAAGTGGAGGTAAAAATTATTTGGTGGTGGTGGATTTGTATTCTAGAGACATTGAAATTGCCCATTTACATTCCACTAGCAGCCGCAGTGTGATCACCTCCCTAAAGGGGATGTTCGCAAGATGGGGAATTCCAAACGAACTACGCTCTGATAACGGTACTCAGTTCAGCAGCATAGACTTTGCGGACTTTTGTAAGGGCTGGGGCATCCTGCACACTACTAGCAGTCCCCATTACCCACAGTCCAATGGGGCTGTTGAGCGGGCTGTTAAAACAGCAAAGCATATCCTGCGCCAACCCGACCCTCACTTGGCCCTCTTGAGCTACAGGGCTACTCCAATTGCAGCTACCGGTGCAAGCCCTGCTCAGCTAATGTTGGGACGTCAAATTCGCACTACATTGCCTGTCCTTGAGAAAAATTTGCGACCATGTCTTATCAGTCTTGAAACAGTGGCTGAGAAGGACAAACAAGCTAAAGCAGCGTACAAACGCTTCTTTGACAAAAGACATTCAGTCCGGATGCTTTCCCACCTAAACCCCGGAGATCAAGTTCTCTTGAAGTTGGACGGGGAGAAAGCATGGTCCACATCAGGTGTGGTGGTGAAGCACACAAAGGAGCCACGTTCCTATTTGGTGCAGACACAAAGTGGAACTGTTCTCAGACGGAACAGGCGTCACTTACAGAGAGTGGGGCCCACAAGAACTGATTCTGCAAAGACTGACATGGACAGTTTTTCACAATCCCCACTAATGCAGAAACCGCATGAGCATTCCACACCTGTCATGAATGCGGAGCAAGCTCCACCGGACTCTATTCCTGGTCCGAAAAAAACCTCTAGTGGCAGGGTAATTAAACTGCCAGTTCGGTACAGAGACTAGTAGTGGATCATATCCCCTATTTGTTTAAAGAGTTGTTTATGGTATAATACGGAGTATATTATTGTTCAGGAAACAGTATTTCTCATTTGTAATTAGTAACAGACAGTAGTTCTCGTTAATGTGTCTCAAATATTTTGAAGGTAAACTGACTGGAATGTTATTCTAATTTGATTGTCTTAATAAGTGTTACTTCTCTGTTGTAATGGGTGTTATGTTGTTTAAAAGGGGAGATGTGTCGGGATGTTAATACTACATTACCCATAAGGCTTTGGGGAGTGTATGACGTAATGTGTGCGACGCAGTGGTGGGGGAGTTGTCAGATGAATACTGGAAGAATTGCACATGGTGTTGTTGAGTGAGCTGTTGCTCTCAATAAATCATAATAGAACATATACCTGTTGTGAGCGTATATGTGACAGCCTCGAAGCTCTCAGTCGGGGGATATTAAGGCCCCGGGTATTTTATTCCGTGCTCCCCTCCGTCTTTCAAACTATAGCCTTTCTACTCCGTGAGTGCGGAAAGACGCGTTCGGCGGGTGTGCGCGCACTATAGTGTATTGGATTTTGTTTTCAAGCGCTCAAGTCACTACTTTGGGCTGATTATAGCCCTCGCTTGCACATGGCCAGACAGTGGAAATACGGCTAATAATACGGCTAATAATTTCGGGATATCTGGCATATACAAGTTTAACTGAATAAAACAAACGAACGAAAACGGGGAAGGGAGGGGGCCCCCTACTGGGCGGGGCCCATGGGCTGCAGCCCAGTCAAGCCCAATGGTAAGTCCGGCCTTGTATGCGCATCTTGGCGTTTCCATATAGTTTTTATGTGATATCGCAAAATTCACATACAAATAGGCGCATGGCAACATAGCCAGTGACTGAATGTGACAGGAATACATACACAGTCTAACACAAAGTCTAAAAATAAATAGGCATATATTTTTTTTTTTTTTTTTCATTTTAATGGTTGACTATTCAAAAGTGATTAGTCTTTGTTCTTCAATAAAGTTCTTGCATAAATTAGATAGTGTAGATCTTATTTCAGCAAACTACCTCTCATTGTTAGCCTACATCTATCCCCATCTGTTACAACTCATGGGGTAGGTTGTAACAACAAAACTCTTTGTATTTGACACTAACTCACATAATCTGTGATTGTGCATGTCCAATTGAGCTGTGTTTGTAGTAGACAAATGTGGCTACCATTTTTGTTTGAGAGATCTATACAAACAACCACTGAGTTACTGATGCTCAAACTAAAAGTGTTATTACCGTCCCTGGTGGTCTCCCTACCATTAAACACCGGTGAGGTCAACTTTTTAACACTTACTGACAGGTCAGTAAATAATTAATTGGGCGAACTATTTATTACATTGTTTCCCCCTGCTATTCCTGTAAAATTATACTAAGCAATAGATTGTGAAGGAAATTGAAAAAAACTTGTATGTATTGTATGGAAAATGAAAAAAACTTAATGTTCAGCCATAAATACATAAATGATAACTGAATTCAGTTAATTATTTTTAAAAACTATTTTACTTTTGCTGTCATTTAAGCACCAACCAGAAGGTGAAGGGTTTCAAAGGTAAATGTAGAAGAGATGAAGTGATATTTTCAAGATTAAGGTTTGGGCATCCTGGGTTAAAATCAACGCTGTTTTTAATGGCAAAATGTATGTCTGATGATAAATGTGAGGTTTGTAATGTGCCGGAAAATGTCGAGCATGTCATCAAGAAGTGTAGCAAATATGATGCTGAGAGCTCTTCCATGTAACATGTTACGTGACAAGATATATGAATTAGGACGGGGATGGAATTTAGAAGGGATTTTAGGGATGAGTGAAGAAACAAGGGAGTGCTGCAGAGCTGTATTTAAATTTCTTAAATATACACGATTAGATCATATCATATAGGTTTAAAAAAAAAAAAAAAAATACTAACTAAAACCTTGAAATTACACACTCCGGTACAGTGGGTGGTGGTATGCACCTGGACAAAGCTGGTTGCGACCCGCCATAATCCTAGAGAAGAAGAAGAAGAGCACCAACCAGTTTCCAAAGCTGTGCACCCGTGTGCACCTCCTGGCCAGTTCGTGGCGGCATTACTTCTGATGAGTTGTCAGTGCATGGAAAATGCCGTCGTCATGTCCTGTTTACTCCATTTTGTTTCTGCTAATAATTTGGTAGGTGTCAGTGTGCTGATTGCGGAAAAGGCTGCTAAATAAATCATGGGGAGAAAAAAGAAGAAGCAGATGAAGCCCTGGTGTTGGTATCCTTTTTTAAAAGCTAGCGTACTGTTGTTCTAAAATTTTCCCTCGGTTTATTAGTAGGGATTGGCTCACTTCCTGTTTACGGATGGCTAATGCATTGTTCGCATGTTTCTCTGATATCAAGGCTGTGTCTCAAAACCAAGACATCATAGCCGCTTTCGAGTTCTATTTGAACGCACGTCTGATCGCTAAGTCACAGTCCAGACTCCAGTCTTTGTCCTTATCCTTCAGCTGGGGATGATGGATTAAACGCGTTATTATTATGTACAGTCAGTCGGTCATTATCACAAAATAAACCTGGTCATGATGACCAGGACCTCGGTGTGAAACGAAGACCTACCAATTAACACACTGACTTGATACATCATATCTAACGATATAGATTGAAATGATTTTTTGTTTATATGTCTGTTTATTTGTTAACGTTACTTGTAGATTAGTGCAACGTTTCCGCTAACAAAAAATACCATTATGTTAATAACGTGGATAACAGTCAACAAGGAAATAAACCGTTTTGCGGTTATATTCTACCACAATATGTGACTGCTAAATTCCTCAATTGATCATTCACAAGGTTACGTTGAGAGTTATATAGTAAATGTATCTGCTTTCATAGCTATTTTAGTGACTAAACTTCACACCATCTTGCTATCATCATACTATGGCAGTGATTCTCAACCAAGGGACCAGGGCCCAGCTCAAGATTATTTAAAATAAGATAAAACAAGCTGTTAAATAAGAAATTCCTTTATTTTTAATTGTCTGGCTGTTTTTTTAACAACCATGTGTAGAATATATGTGGAAGCATACTTTTAAAAGTGTGATTTCTAGAACTTCAAAAGTCCTCTGAATGAATAACATATGTATTTAGTGGAAGTGTAATTAAACTCTATGGGCATTCTTATAATGATATTCATTTTCCTCTAAAATGTTTTATCAGGTAGAAAAATCCTTATCCTCAATCCGTATTCAGTAAATCACAAAGAACTGGAGAATGTCACAGGGCCTTTGCTTATTATTGTGGAAAATGGGGGGAACTTGTAGATGAAAAGGTTGAGAACCACTGGTGTTTATGAAAGAAGTGTGCCAAAAGATTTAAGCATCCTTATGCTAATGTTGCCTTAATGACTTTTCTGGCTTTCTGTTATGATTTTTTTCTTCTTTATATGACTTTAACTGCACACCCAGGTACTGTAACAGGGATTTTGATGATGAAAAGATTCTCATTCAACACCAGAAGGCCAAGCACTTTAAGTGTCACATATGTCACAAGAAGTTATACACAGGTCCTGGTCTGGCCATCCACTGTATGCAGGTACATATGTATGTCATTGGGATTTTGTGTATATATGTAATATGTTTACTGTATGTCTTAAACTTTTTGTTTGTTTATTGAAGGTTCACAAAGAAACTATTGATGGTGTACCTAATGCAATACCTGGAAGGACTGACATAGAACTGGAGATCTATGGAATGGAGGGTATTCCAGAGAAAGACATGGAGGAGAGACGACGTGTACTTGAACAAAAAACACAGGGTAGCATATTTAACTTCATATTACTTATGCTCTTTTTGTAACCCACGTAAACCCATAACAACAATATTCCCCTGCTTTGTGTAAACAGAAAATCAGAAGAAAAGACAGAATCAAGATGACTCTGATGAAGATGATGAGGACGAAGAGGCTGGACCCTCCTTCCAACAGCCAGCATCAACCGTACAGCCTCAGGCAGCCTACGCCCCCATGACTCAGCCAGGAATGGCCCCTGTCCCTGCTCCAGGGATGCCACACGGAAGCTACTCGGGTGTGCTTTGTAATGATACAAAACAACCAATTCAAGCTTTTATGCATAGTATATTTATTATGTGTCTCCTAAATTACTTATCTCAAAGGAATGCCCCCAATGATGCCTGGTGTTCCCCCAATGATGCCAGGGATGCCCCCTGTCATGCCAGGGATGCCTCCAGGGTAAGCGTTAATATAGTCTGAATATTGCTCATCCATGTTGTAAACATATTTCTTTCAATAACATTCCCTTCCTGTTACATGTAATCAATAGCATGATGCCAATGAGTGGCATGATGCCACCTACACATGGAATGCCCCCAATGATGCCAGGCATGCCACCAGGTACAGGAACCTTCAAATTTAAGGCTCAGTATGTATATAAGAGAAATATTTTTTTCAGTTGTTCAGAATTATTTTATTATTGTGGTAAAATGATTTGATTATTGTGGTATTACAGGAATTCCTCCTCCAATGGGCCATCACCCTGGCATACCCCACATGGCTCAGGCTCCTCCTACTACCACCCGGCCAGCTATGCCTGCCACCACAGTGTCCACGCCACAGCCAAGTGTATCCAAGCCACTGTTTCCCAGTGCAGGACAGGTATGTTGCCCTTCGTTGCTAGTTGCAAAAGCGAAAGGCATCTTAAGTAAAATTAAATGTCTTTATTTTATTTATGTCACTTTCAGGGACTGATTAGACTCATACCAAGGAAGATACTGTACGGTCAGTTTTTGGTTAGAAAGAGAGACCAGGATTATTAACACTTTTGCATCACTTCATGCTACTGACAGTGATGTTTCCAGGTTTCCAATGCTTCTGAACCAGGGGTCTCAAACTCAAAGTATCTCGTAATCAAAGTTTACACCTGTTATTAAGATGCGTTTTGTTCGATCGGATCACGAGTGTAGGACGCTAGTTACAGGTGTAAATGGGGTCTAAAACGTTTTGAGCTTGTCCACTTTCGACCACCTTCAGAGGTAGTCGAAAACTCATTTGACTGGATTGTTTTTGTAGTGTAGACGCTCATGTGGTCGAATGCATGCAAACAGCCACAAAAGATCTGATAAAGTCCATACATTTACCCGCCCATTGACCCTCCCCTCATAGAAATCAGGACAGAAGTGGTTGAAAGTGGACAATAAAATTGAAAGTGTTTTCGAATAAGTGTGAATTCATAGTTACATGCAAAGTTTTTAGGCTATTTTTGGTTGAATTGTTATTAAATGAAAAAATGTATGATAATTATTAGTTGTTTTATTAAAAACAAATCATAAAAATATTCTGGTGCATATATCAAATATATTGCTTTTTTTTTTTTTTTTAAGTAAAAGTGATTCCTTTTTCTTTTCTTTTTTTTTTTATCCTTTTTTTGCTGTTGTGGAAATTCTCAAGAGACCAAAATGTGATATGGATAAACCTAAGAGGTGCTAATAAAAAAAATAAAAAAAAACCTCAGTGCTGGTCGTTTTAGAGCGCAGTTTTAAATGACCAGAGGTTAAGTGTGTTCATGATAGTTTTTGTGAGCAGCAGTCATGTCCAGAATTAAACGGGGTCTTTACTGTGTGCTCTCTCTCCATGCTGCAGATGGGCACTCGAGCTCCAAGCACAAGCTCAGCCTCCTCCAGTCTGGACACTTTGTCAGCATCCTCTAAACCGCTGTCCCAAGTATGCAGTAGCTTGCTGACTCGGTGAAAGAGCTGCTTCTTAAAACTATTGATGGCATGTGATGGCAGACAGACCTCAGACTGCCTCTTAGAATAATTGCCTTTGCTCTTGAGGACATCTGTAGTGCTTCAGAAGAATCAAAAGAGATTTTTAATCGAGGCTGATAAGTGATAGACAGCTTGATTTTCTCTTTTAAACTCAGTGTTTCTCTTTCTTTAAAATACACCTTCATAGTCACATTTTAACTCTATATATATTCAGTGGCCCCAAAAAGTATTTGGACTCATTGGGGCACTTGATCATGATCCACTTTTTACAACCAGAAAGTGTCCAAATACTTTATTTTGTGTTTTTATCATTTAAAACCAGTCTCTCATTCAGTGACCTTAGCTGGCAGGAGGGACAGTACACTTACAGGTAGTCAATTGAGGTAGTCAGCCCACAATGCCAGCATCAAAACTTTAAATTTAATTCTGTCTGCAACTGGGAGCCAGTGGAGTGAGATCAGGAGGGGTATCACAGGAGGGGTATGACATGGGTTTTGGCAACCGTGTTCGGGATCATCTACAGAGGTTAGTTGCACTGGCTGGAAGGCCTGTCAGTAGAGCGTTGCATTAGTCCAGTTTTGAAATGACAAGAGCTTGGCCAAGAAGTTGCACCACATACTTTGACAGGAAGGGTCTGATTTTCTTAATGTTTCAAAGCCCAAACCTGCACGACCGGGTTGTTGCTGAAATATGGGTGGATAATGTCATGCATGATATTAACTCTATACTATTTTGTCGAAATAAAAAATAATACACTTAAACTAAAATCAGTTTAGACATAACACCATTATAATGTACAGTATGAAAAAAAAACATTACATTTACCTGTTATTAAATTAGCATTTCTAAATATTGACTTTAAGTGAGCGTTAGATGGCGGTATTTTGCTTGAAATGTAAATAACACTTGATTTGGTATTCTGTTATGTCTTGCATTGTATATTAAGTGTGACTTAAATACTTTGTGGGGCCACTGTATTCAGGCTTTTAAGAATCCGTTTTGCTTCTGTAACTGTAGTACCTAAGTGCAGCACTGAGTTGAATCCCTGAATGTATCTAATCTGCACTTTTGTCTCACTTCAGGTCCAGCAGGCTGGTTCTGGTGTTGCAGTAAGCGCTTCTGCACCTCCTTCTGCTGCGCCTAAACCCACATTCCCAGCCTACACCCAGTCCTCCACCACTGCTGCTGCCAACACGAGCAGCACTGTGGCCAAACCAGGCACCCCAGTCACAAGTAAGCCCGCCACCCTCACCACTACCAGTGCAACCAGTAAGTTGATCCACCCTGATGAAGACATATCACTGGTAAGTGAACCTGTTTCTGTGCTTTGCCTTTTAAGCTTTGCAGAAATAACTGGTCTGCTATCAATAGTGCATGCTTGCATTTGATAAAACACCTGGTTCATTATTCCAGACGGTCTCGTTCCACACCTGTGACTTTCTTTCCTCTGCGGAACATACATTTGAAGAACGTTTTTTGTTCAGACAGTGAAAGTCAAAAAGTTACAAAACAACACTGGACCCCAGTGACTTTAATTTTTCACAATATCTTCTTTTGTGTTCCACAGAAGAAAGAAAGGAAACAAAAAAAGTCCATATTTATGTCTTACCGCCCTGCATGTTTTGCTTTATGTGTTTGACAGGAGGAGTTGCGAGCACAGCTGCCTCGCTACCAGTGTAAAATCCCTAGTGCGGGACAGGCCCACATATCTTCCCCACCAGTCGCAGCAATGGGAGGCGTGTTGCCCCCTCAGCAGGGCATTCCTGCGCAGCAGCCGGGTGTTAGGCATCCCATGCAAGGTAGGGTGCATATAAGTGCTCTCAGACTTTTGGATGCCCAATGAATATCAAAATAAGAGTGAAAATCTCTTGTTACACTATTCTTTAATAGTTGTTATTCAGGAAGAATGCAGTAATCAAAAGTGACAGTCAAGTCATTTATAATGGTACAAAATATTTCTATTTCAAATAAATGCTGTTATTTTGAACTTTCTTTATTAAAGAATCCTGAAAAAATGCATCAATGTTTCCACTAAAATATTTCAAACATTAATGATAATAAATGTTTCCTGAGCTTCAAATCAGCATATTAATTGGACTACTAGCACAGTCGGAATAAGTCACATGTAACCACGTCAATTTGTATGAATTGGCCAAATCATTTTAAAATTTCATTTGGATTCCAAGGGGTGGTTTAAACCTTTTGTAATCCGATCGAGAGGACATGTAAACACTTGATCAGATTGAAAACAGAATCTGGAAAGTACTGGGTATGTGTAATGACGTGTGGAACGAGCTGTTCTTCGTGTCATATAAATGAGTGTCCCGTCAGTCATTCTAAAATTCTCCTTTTACTCCGCTTCTGTGAAGTGACAACGTGCCACCCAATCCTTGTTTCGGATTCTCGTCCAAAGACACCTTGTTTTGGGCGCAGAAAGGACTGTTTTTACTGCTCGATTTAATGTAAGCAGGGAGGCACAACGGTTCATGTGCTCGTCGTCTCCTTATTAGGACCCAAAATGAAAAAGAAGCAATGTAGGAGAGTAGAATGCGCAAACAGCCGGAAACTATTCGTGCGACTGTGCGCATGTCATAAAAATCCATTCCGGTTTGAAGCTTGCAACATATTGAAGCACATCAACCTAATCACTTTTTTTAGTGTTCATGTAAACACTACGTTCGGATTCATCAATTGGAATGATATCTTTCCTATTGAAACAAAAAGTGTCCATATAAACGTAGTTATGGACTACTTGCACAACTACTTCCGCGTTCTAGTTAGTACATATCGGGAGTTTCCTGTTAGAGCGTTCAGCGCACCTACATACATGAGAATGCAGATTATCACTGTTTTATGGCTGCCAATTGATTAAAACAATGAATAATGATCTCTGTTATTAATTATCTTGAGCCTGCTGAAATGTTCCTATAAATATATTTTCTTTCCAACTGTGCATTCTGAATGTATTTATCCACTAATCTGCAGCAGTCCTATGAAAATGATATATGCATATATGCTCATCTTCTCATTAAGAGTTTTTTTTTTCTTCTCTTTCTGACATTTCATACCTGTTGGGTTTACATTTTTAAATGAAATTGATTGCTTTTGTGCGCTGGTGTTTATTCCAATCTTTTAAAATAGTTGAATGAATCAATGCTCGCAAGGTGCCTGTAACGATGTTAAATAGGCTAGGCTATTTAATCAATAATGTTCACAGCATAGAGGAGAATGACAGTCAACTACTTCGAATATTATAGCATTTTGGGCATAAACATAGTGAAAAGATTGACATTGAAAAAACATAATAAAAGTCTTGCCAACCACAAACTTTAGAACGGTATTATTGTGTATGAGTGTGGAATCGCAGTGTAAGATAAAAGCAGATTTGTGTTATAAATGCAACTAATCAGTTTCTTCTCATGTAGGGCCATATGGTGCTCCACCTCAAGCAGTGCCTGGGTACGTCCCGGGTGGGATGCCACCATATGGGCAAGCCCCACCCATGGTTCCTCCTTACCAGGCCGCTCCCCCTCGGCCTGCCATTGGCATGAGACCTCCAGTAATGTCTCCTGGAGGCCGATATTGAAGCGTCTTCACTGGTCTTCATTAGGTTTGGTGATTCAACCATTTTACCATCTAGTGGCGTTCTTTACAATCCAGATCAGTAACCGTAACCCTTCTTGCAATGAGGGGATGGAGTAATCAAACTGTGTAACGCATGGGACATTTGATTTTACCAAGTCTTTTATTTGGACCTTCCCTTTGTTGCAGATCATACAGTTTGGCTTTTTTTCTCATGTTTTGTTTAGGTTTTTAGAAGTGAAGTGTAGTAAATATGGTTCGTAATAATTTGAAGCGGCTGGAGTTTCGTACAGCACCTTTATCAAGGCAAGTCACTGTAAATATACTACTGTACTAAAAGTGTGAAGCCTTCGCAGCACCAAAAGGTGCTGTTGGACGTCCTGTCCCCAGCGTTGCTTGGTGAGGGCTTCAGATAGCTGTCACTGTTGAGTTTATTTTTCTGTGTCTGCTTGTCTACATTTACAGTGTTCTCTCTGTAGGGCCAATAACAAAAGGACTCCTGTGAATGATATCTGTACTGTTCCACTATGAATTGTAATAAACTATTGAAATCTAACGGCTGTTTTTTCATGAGCGAGTAAAGGACAACTCCGTAAGGTTTGTACTTCAAATGATCCACATGATGGCTGTTATTTGTATGAAAGCAGTGTGTTTAGCGTATGCTGGAATGCATTTGAGTGCGAGGAAAGCCGAAGCGTTTGCATCCACGTTTGATGTTCTTTCATATGGAAGTTCGAGTTTAAAGGGGTCAAATCATAAGGAATTACATTTCTCTGATCTTTTGAAAGAAAGTAGTTTTGTACCATGTAAACTTGATGTCACTCAAAACATCTCACAATGTCTGACATTTACACACCAGTGATGCCTATTTGGTGTTCGGAAGCTTTCAAAAACCAGTAAGGATAGGATATATTCCATTATTCCTGCACAACATACAACCAACAATATAAAACTAACAAGGTCCCTGATCTTAACAGTTGAGGGTGCTTAAAAGATGCTACAACAGAAAGTCAATTCAATTGTAATGTTCAGAGACAAAGTGGAAAACGAGCATGGAAAAGCTCAATTTTGACTATTTGATGTGGGAAAAACAGTGGACCTAAATGTTTAAGACCCCTTTAAATGTTCAACTCCTTATGCAAGAACATATGGCTCTCAAAGAGATAAACAACCATTCAGATGGCAGTCTTCCTGAAGATCACCGTCTTGTGAAAGACTGAAATAAGCCAAATGAACCGGCTAAAGCTCATTATTTGACTGTGATTTTCAGGAAGATGCAGGCAAGGCTGTGACTGTAGTTCCCTGTGGTTGTTGTCCTAAACTGAGGATTTCTCTTCTCCTTGTAGCAATGCCATGGGACTGGCTGAGGCAGAGTCTCAGTGTTGCCCTGCACAGGCTGAGGCAAGTCTCACATTTTCTCTCTTTACTCTGTGTATTCAGGGGGCCTCACAGTCATTTGGCTGTTGGATGCAAACGTCCCCAAACTTAGAACAAGTTTGGTGATGGCCCCCAGTTTTATTAATATCAGGGGAATTTTCATAACTAACTCCGTTTTAGTTAACATGTTAAATGTACACAAATATGCTTCAAAGGTTTGGGGTCAGTAAGATTTTTTGGGGGGTGGGGAAAGAAAGTAGTATTTTTATTTAGCAGGGATGCATTAATTTGATTAAAAGTGGCAGTAAAGACATTTGTACAAAAGTTATAAAACATTTCTATTTCAAATGATTGATGTTCTTTTAAACGTTCTATTTGTCAAAGAATCCTAAAAAAAATATTAAGCACAACTGTTTTAAACAGTGAGAAGAATGTTTCTTGAACATTAAATCAGCATATTAGAATGATACTTGAAGGATCATGTGACAAATGAACTGAAAATTCAGCTTTGCATCACAGAACATATATTTTAAAATATATTCAAATAGAAAAGGCCTTACTGTATTTCTGATTAAATACATGCAGTCGTCTTGTGAACAAGAGATTTCTCTCAAATTCAAAAACATTGAAAAGTCTTGCTGACCCCAAACTTTTAAATGGTAGTGTGTTAATAGAATATGTTATTTTCAACTACATCTATGGCATTCTGTCGATTAGCACAGACAATGACTCGTCTCGCAGTTTGTACTAAACAAATGGGAAGGATATGCAATTAATGAAAGTTTAGCAGTTATGCTAGCTAATAAGTCCTTAGAAAATGCAACTTGCATATAAACATTACATGTGTGTAATGTAGTTCCCATTTTTACAAACAGAAGGATGAGTTGAAATTTTTCAGGATGCCACAGATTCTGTCCACAAACATTGTTGAAAATCCAGAATATTAATTGAAATCCTTTCACTGGTTTTGGAGATGTTTGGCATGACACTAATGGTATCAATCCACAGAACTACTTCTTCAAGGAATTATTTAGCATCTAGCCAACCATATGAATCCGATGGTTTTGTGTTTAAGTACTGTCTGAGTTTTGTTTTTTTGTGTTGTTTCTTTTAACTGTCCGTTTGCTACTGATCAGTTCCCCTTGATTTTTAAGGAAAACGTAATCCAGGACCCCTTTACAGAGTTGAGATTTGGTTAAAAGCAAAAGACACTGCTTTCCGGTTCACTGTCAACAAATTTTTTGCCTGGTAAGTTTGGTTAGGTTTAGTCCCCAATTTTCTAAATCTGTACTCATTTTCCTTTTTACAGGGAAAACTGAGATTTGTTTCAGAGTTTTGAGTTTATCTTTCCAGTAAAGTGCAGCACAAAGTGAGTTGCCTTTTCCATTTGTCCCATTTGAAAATAATAAAAACTAAAATAAAAACAAATGAGCTGTGTATTCTTTGTATATTTGGTCATATATGTGATATATAGGCCTGGTTTCACAGACAGGGCTTTGTTCAATTAGGACATTTAAGTAGCTTTTATAAATGTGCCTTAAAAAACAAAACAATGGCACCAACATATTTTATATGTCAGTGGAAGTTGCTTTAAGTTAAAACAGCTCAAACATGTATTTTAGTCCGGGACTAGCTTAAGCCTTGTTTGTGAAACCGGGCAAGTAACAACTGAACAACAATGTTAAGTGTATTAGTTAAAACATCAAAAGGATGAGAGAGAAAATAAGAAAGAAAATAATTCATAAGGAAAAAGAGAAGTTTCCTGCCAATCTGAGCTTTAAATTACTTAAAATAAAATGTGCTTTAAAGGAACGATGAACAATGTCAGTGCTGGAATAAACTGCCAGAAAAGAAAATATTTTGGTACAAATGTGGAAACATTTACTCTACAAGTCATATTTCTATAACGCTGTACTTTCAGTAGTAACACACTATACTAAAACAAATAATGTGTGTCTGCTGAACTTCCTGTGCTTGGGTGGAGCTCTGCCGAGATGAAAAGAGAACAGTCCTACAAGCAGAATCAACGCTTTGAGGAGAGATGCTTGTGAAACTTGTCATGAATATTTAAAACATTTAATAAGTTAAACTATGAGAGCCTGCTTATTTCTCTGGATTTTATTGGAGCAAACTTTAGGTACGTAACTCTGAATGGGATACCATAGTAATGTTTATTTTAAGCTGTTAAATTTCAGTCTAGGGTACTTGAAAAACATTTCAGAAATTAAGCATTCAATCTCAAACATTAATTTTTTTTAAGAAATATTTTTTTTGTAGCAATAACACTGAGCTCTTAACCTCAGATGTATGCTAATATAGTACAGGTGTCTCATTAGACTTTTTGAACATACAGCATAACAACAGGTGACGCTTTTAAACATACTTATATTATACATTTTATGTAGAATTTATTATACATGACCATTTTAAGTTATTGATTGGCCTACTCTGTAATAGGGGTACACCAGTAAACCAATCTATTTTATGTGTATAGAGCTTGATAAAAAAAAGCGTGCCTAAATTATACATATGGCCAACAATACAAAGATATGCAATTTCATGAGTTTAATCCTTTCATTAACACTTTTCAGCATTTCAAGATTTTCATTACATCCAAAGGCTTGAGGGTGAATCAGTGGACATATTTTGTGTTACACAAGCAAGTAAATCACACCCATCGCTTCTGTACCTGCGGCGAAGGTTTGCCCATTCAGAAAGTGTGCTGAACATCTCTGAAGATGAAGGCGTGAGAGCAGATCCAGGAATTGAGGGACGTATCAAGATCTCCGGACAGCCGAATTTTCTCCAGACAGGCAAAATTACTGTGACTCTTTCTGATTTAAGACTAACAGACACAGGGCTTTATGTCTGTGATTTCTCGGGAAATCCATCAGATCAGCATTTGGTGAACACAGCCCTTTTTCTGCTTGTGAATGCGGCAGGTTGGAAAATGTTTCCTTATATTTAATTAAAAAAATTATATATATATACACGTATATACTACATACACACATTATATATATTGGTGCAGTTCTGCACTGCATCTCTGTTGATGTTTAATTGCGCAAGGGTGGGCCAACCTGTCAATTAAATATAATTGCAAAAAATATAAATAATATATGTGACCCTGGACCACAAAACCAGTCACAGGTAACACGGGTATATTTGTGGCAATAGCCAACAATAGGCCTACATTGTATGGGTCAAAATGATCGATTTTTCTTTTATGCCAAAAATCATTAGGATATTAAATAAAGATTATGTTCCATTAAGATATTTTGTACATTTCCTACCGTAAATATATAAAAGGTTTATTTTTGTGAGTGGATGCAGCAAAATCGTGAACATAAATGGACAACTCTAAAGGCGATTTTCTCAATGTTTAGATTTTTTTGCAACCTTTAGATTCCAGATTTTCAAATAGCTGTATCTCAGGCAAATATTGTCCTATCCTAACAAACCATACATCAATGGAAATCTTATTTATTCAGATGATGTATAAATCTCAATTTCAAAAAATTGACCCTTGTGACTGGTTTTGTGGTCAAGGGTCACATATTAATATTGAATTAAAACTGTCACCAAGAGTCAGAAAGAGGGTGGAAATTTGGAAAAACACCGCTAGCCCAAATATATTTAGCTGTAGTGATAGAAAAGTAAGCTCACATCTGACCTCGTACTCTCATCGTTTGCTTTAGGTGAGCAGTGCTCCTGTAGGAGGTATTCTCTGCTCATCTATACCATCTCTGTAGGAGTGAGTCTGCTCCTACTCACAGTTATCGCTCTCTTTTTGACACATGTAAGGTCACCCAGCCACACAGCTGAACACTTCATTTAGCATATAATAAGCAATAGTGTGTCATTCTGAAAGTTAAAATGCCCCTCTTTCTTGTCCTCAGAAAAAGCCAAATGCTCAGCAAGAGCATCAAACTGCAGTTCCGATTTATGAAGACATGTCAAGTGTGCAAGGAAGCAGTGCAAACCATTATCGGATCTGTCCACCAGAGCCTGAAAGATCTGCTCCAGGCTGGACCAAATCCAATAGAAAGATTATGCTGGGAAAACTATAGATCCCCCAAAAGGACAGATCATGTTTTCTTACATGCATCAGCATCAGAAAAAAAGACGAAGAAAAATTGCAGCTTGTATGTGATATTTGGATCCATTTACAGCTACACAGTTTAAGTGTAGTGGCCTATTGCTTTTAGACGTAAGTTCAAATGTATATATTTCACTGTCCTGTGATATGACAAATAAATAAAAAAGTAACTTGACCTGCCACTTGACCCGCCACTTAACCCACCACTTGTCCCGCCACTTGACCTGCCACTTGACCCGCCACTTGACCGGCCACTTGATCTGCCACCCGCGATCTAGCCAACCATATGAATCCGATGGTTTTGTGTTTAAGTACTGTCTGAGTTTTTTGTTTTGTTTTTTGTGGTTCTTTGTTTCTTTTAACTGTCCGTTTGCTACTGATCAGTTCCCCTTGATTTTTAAGGAAAACGTAATCCAGGACCCCCTTTACAGAGTTGAGATTTGGTTAAAAGCAAAAGACACTGCTTTCCGGTTCACTGGCTGCGTTCGGAATCGTATACTTCCCTACTATATAGTATGGGAAAAAGAGTAGGCGAGCGAAAAGTATGTACGATTCATAAAAGAGTAGGCGAGAATTACCTGGGTGACGTGCTAATTATCGCGAGATTCGGACTTAAGTGCGTTCGAATATGCCTACTTTCCTACTATATAGTAGGCGAAAACAGTACGTGAAGGAAGCAGTACGTTCGAAACATCAGTATTCATAAAAGAGTAGGGGAGAAGTTCCCGGATGGCTTACTGCTTCAGCCCAGATTTTTGAGTGCTCAACCGATGGATACTCTTCTATCCCAGGAGGCCACGCGAGAGCATACGTCATTATCAAACATCACGGAGATCAGCGACGCGGTTTTTTTTCCCAAATGTGAGTAAACACGGTTTACCTACTCATTGAGTATGCGATTCCGAACGCAGCCACTGAAATGACTTCCAATTATATGCGTCATGTTCTGTGTGAGCTTGCGTCTTATGAGTGTGTGCGTGGAGAGTTTGTGTGTGCGCGCGCTTCTCATATGAGTATGTGCGTGGACGGAGAGTTCCGCGCATCTCGTGTGTGTAGAGTTTGCATGTATGTGCGTGAGCGACTTTAGGTGTGTCGTTGTGCATTTCATATGTACACTACCGTTCAAAAGTTTGGGGTCGGTACGATTTTAAATACTTTTAAAAGAATTCTCTTCTGCTAACCATGGCTGCGCTTATTTGATTAAAAATACAACAAAAATCAGTTATAGTATTAAATATTATTCCAGTGTAAATCAGCTGTTTTCTGTGTGAATATATAGTAAAGTGTAATTTATTCCTGTGATCAAAGCTGAATTTTCAGCATCACCAGTGTCAGTGTCTTCAGTGTCATGATCCTTCACAAATCAGTATAATATGAGGATTTGATGCTCAAGAAACATTTATTATTATTATCAATGTTGAAACAGTTGTTGGTCTGTCAGTTGTACAGTTTTTTTTTTAGGATTCTTTGATGAATAGGAAGTTCAAAAGACTTTTGTAACATTATAAATGTCTTACTGTCACTTTCGATCAAATTAATTATTCCTTGATAAATAAATTGATTTCTTTCCTCCAAAAAATTAAAATAAAATTCTCACTGACCCCAAACTTTTGAACGGTAGTGTATTTGTTTGAGCATTCAACAGTATACATGCATGTTTGACCCTAAGTGTATGTGTATGCACGTGTTTCATATATTTGTGCGTGAATGAAGTTGACTTAAGCCCTAGACGGCGCCTCATACATTAACCTGGTTGTTTAAATGACTAAAGAAGAACAGAGTTGGGTATAACGCGTTACAAAGTAACGCGTTACTGTAGTGTAATTACATTTCGTGATAACGCAGTAATGTAACTCATTACATTTAAAATGTATGTAATTTGATTACAGTTATAATGTCAATAAAATTAAGTTACTTACGTTACAAATGTATTGTTAAGAAAAAATATTAAGTAAAATACATTTCTAATCACGTTTGGCGCGGCTGCGTCAGTTAAAGAGCATGCGCTTTAATGAATTACCGGAGAACGCGGCTGCTAAAATGGACGCAGACGTCTACGGGGGGCGGGGTAGCTTTCTTATAACGTAAAGAAAGCTAGCCGCGGTCCTTCTCTACAGATGCAGCTATCTCGTCGTCATTAAAGGCGGAAGCGGCGGCCGTTGTCCGTCAGTGAGCGACTCGAGTGAAGCTGGTGAAGCTGGCAGGCGCACCGGCGAGCTTTAACGGGCTGGAGAAGGCTCGGGGACCCGCTGAGTACGGCGCTTAAACGGCGCGGCACTACAGCGGGCTGGCCCGTTTCCCTGACGACTCGCGGGCAGAAGGGGGGAGGTCCACACATAGACATAATAGTCTATGGGTCCACAGAGCTCGCCCAATTAAATTACGGAAAGAACTGAGTTTCACTTTGTAGTGTATTTTTGTGTAGTTTTAATATGTTTTCAAAGTAACTTGAAAGTAAAGTAATTAGTAATCAGATTACTTTTTACATGCAGTAATCAGTAATGTAATCAAATTACAATTTTAAAGTAGTAATTGGTAATTTGTAGTGGATTACTTTTTTGGAGTAACTTACCCAACTCTGAAGAAGAAATATAAAATATTCTTATTTTAAGGGTGAATACAGGTTGGATACTTTCTGATAATTTGTCATGGGCATCTTTATTTGTATTCAATCCAAATCACCAAATAAATGTCATCCCACACTATTACCAAAGCATTTTTCATCCTATTGGAAGAGTACAATGACAGGTTATTAACCTGTAGGCCTATTCCTCACAACACTGCAGGACACGTGATGTCCACTAATACGCAATGACCAAACCAAATTCATTACAGCCAAGAACAAAAATGCAATTTATTAATTGTTTGAAAGAAGCTCCATAGTTGAAAACATTTTTTTTCGGTGCATGTCAACAATCACATTCTATGAGGAGAGAGAAAAAGAGGAAAAGAGAGGGGAAAAAAACCCATCAAAAGCCATTGACTTCTTAAAATCTCAGTACAGACATATTCCTTAACAAAAGGCAAAAGCAACCCAGTATCTCCACCAACACTCATCCCAGTAACACACTCACTCACTCAGTCACACAAAGAACACAGACAACCTTGAAAGTCATGGGCTACAAAAAAACCCCACAGTGCTTCAGAATGAGACGTTCATTGGTTTAGGAATACACAGCATGGCGATGTACTGCATGTAAGAAACATAAAAAATGGGAAGTAAGATGGGGTTGGTGGGGAGGGAGACAACAGAGCAAATGAGCACAAAAAAAGACACAAAAAAAAAGATTCCCTCTAATCCCAGTGAGAGATGGGTCACAGAGGCTTTAAGAACCCCATCCCCCTTGTGCATAGATCATGATCCGTATAAACCAGCTTTTCTTTCCTCTTTAAATTGATCAAATAGATACAGAAACCCTGCCCCCAACCCCTCGTTTTTAGTTCTCATCATGTAATACCCGCCACAGGAGACAGTATGACAAAGAGGAAAGAAATAGTAATGCACAATGGTCCTGATTTCAACAGGAAGGGACCTCATGTTAAGAAAATACAATAAAGAATCACACATACAGCATTTGTATGTTCTTTCACCGTCTTTTGAACAATCAAAATCATTGATCATTTTGTTTAAAATGTAAAGCAATTTCAATATAGAGATTTATATATAAAGCACTCCATTTTTTAAAGTTCATTAAGAGTTCATTATTTGGTAAATATGTAACTGCTACGGATTTAGAAACAAAGGTATTTTCTTCTTCTGAAATCCATAACCTTCAGTGCTTATGTTTTTTTTTCTGTTATCCTCTTTCTCTAAAAACAAACATTAAATGGCGTGGAGTTGGTACTCTGGAACCCTTGCCTTCCTGAGACATGATCCACTTTTTTTGTGTGTGCAAGATAGTGAACAACTATGTCTTCTTTTCTCTTTTTTTAAAAAAAAAAAGATTTTTTTTTTGCTTTCCAAAAAAAAAAAAAAATACAGGCTTTGATAATCTATGAAAGTAACATTGCCAACATAAATAAAAACAAAAACATGACAACACTGATCAATCCCAGAGTTCTGCAAGTAGCACAATAATCTTCATTCTGTAAAGTGTTTTTTGTTATTCATTTGATGGAAGTATATGTCCTTTAGGATTTTCTTTCTTTTCTCTTCTCATGACAATCCCATCGTAACATTCCTTTTCCTTGAACTTCAGAAAAACATGAAATGTTTGTAAACTGTTGGTGGCCTTGCACAAAGAAAACTAGAACAGAAATGAACATTGACAATAAAAAAAGCAAACCAGAAAGGTAGGCACCTCTGAAATGAGTCTTGTAAGAAACTCTTCTCCAGATGTCTATCCAGCTCATCATGGTGTAACATGGGGAGTTACAAGTCCCTCTACATCGATCTATGGCCACAGTTCTTCAAAAAGATCCCTCCCCCCCACACATTTCATTTTCATTTACTTTTTTTTTTTTTGTATTTTGCATTTTTTTTCTGTTTATAATCTGAAAACAAAAATGGTGCAATACTCAAAATAATCCATTTCTTTATCATGGATTATTCCACAATAAAAGCCACTATAAGGTAGATAATCGTATTACAGATAAAAAACACACTTGTTATTTTTCTCAATAAGTCCTTGAGTAAACATTAACACATGAATTGTCACCTTGTCCCCTTAGTACTTTAATATCATGTTGTACGATTAGCTGAATGAGGGGAAGCAGACACTCAGTGCAACTCTAATAACAAAGCTAATAACAAATACAATAACAATACACATCCGAATATATTTTTGACTAGCCAACAAAAGAAAGACAAAAAAAAACCTCTAAGATGAAACAAAGGCGCAAACAAATCCACTGTAATCACTAGCATCCATTGGTTTGAACTCACTCACACAGGCAAACGAACGCATTCATCCGTCATACAGTACACGCAATCTTGTGCAAACACTCACATACAACCGATGTCATTTTGCATTTTTTTTTATCTTTTTTTTTTTTTTTACTACATTTTTTTTTTTTTTTTTTCGTTCAGTTTGAACTGATGTTATCAAAAAGCTTGGAAGTGTATGAATGACAAAATTATTACAAAAAATTTCACATTACATTATTGGCGCTTCTTTTGATTCAAGTATTTGAGTTTTTGTCATTTGTATAATTTTGATATGTTTATGCCTTTATCATCTAGTTAAATTCATGGAGAGAAGGAAACAGGGGGTTACTCAGGCCTGAGAAAAAAAAGTAAAAGTAAATGAAAAAAAAATATATATAACCAGTTCTATACATACACAGGATTTCAGATGTACATGTATATCAACCAGGATGTGCATATTCTAGCCAAAGGATTTGATTTTCTTAGAGGTTATCTCCACCCAGGCGATGCCCCTGTTATTTTGTACGATCGAAGCGGACTTCTTACCTACACAAAGTTGCATCTGAGCCATTCTCGTGGAGCTGGGGTACATTAGTCCTATAGATAAGACCCAGAGTGCCCACTTTTTAGCTAGCTAGTCAGTCTGCCAGGCAATCCTCTTGATTTTAAGTTTTGGATGTTCGTTTTTTTTTTAAGTTTTTTTTTCTTTCAATCTGTGGTCTCGAGTACAGCTTAGAGAAAGGCAGTTAAATATATATATATATATATATATATATATATATATATATATATCTTCAAAAACAGGCAATAGTGATTGTTGCTAGTGTCACTCGAGTGTGAAGTAAAAAAAAAGAAAAAAAGAAGAAAAAAAGAATTCTTCCAGAAAGGGATTTCCCCCTTTTAAGACTTGGTATCAACTGGCATGTGCCCCAGGCCTCCTGATACAATAGGTCCATGTGGACCTGGACCTGTTTAAAAAAATTAAAAAAACAAATTAGAAAATAATCTGTACCGTTCCCCTAGTATTGGGTCGGGACAGAGTATAATACCATCAATACAGCAAACCCCAGAGTCATCTGTCCGCCACATCAGGGCGTCAAAGGCTTGCAGAGAGAAGCACTTCAGTCAAAGAGTGTACTACAGATTTTAAGTTTCCTTTTTCAACAATAACATTAATAATAATAATAATAATGAGACAAAAACCTTTTTTGGTTTTAAAAAAAGATGTACCCAAATGTGAACCATCTACAGTGCACCTAAACATTCTGGATTCCCTGTTTAATTCTCAGTAGTCCTCCCAGGCGTAATTTGATACCCGGGACAAGGTGCTATTCGTCTGTCTTGGTGCCAACCTGCATTCTACCTCTCCACCTCCATGTGCTCTTTACAAAACCAAACATCAAAACACATTTCAAGAAGTAACGAGTCCCACTCTGATAGATTCATGACTAGGTTAAGTCTACGATCGAGAATAGGTACATTAGGATCTAAAAAACAGAGGGACTTCCTGCGAATCCTTCTCCGAGTCCATTCAGCATCTTTAAAGCCACATCGGATAATGCAAGAACGCACGACTACGCCCCCCTCGGAACGATAAAACAGTTTGGGGTTCTCTGAGGCTGCCCTGAGACTGCATGTACATAATGTAAGAGATCATTCAGAGAGTAAACAGTGAGGGCCTGGTCATTAGTTCAAATGAAGCGGGCCGGTTTCTTTCTTTAGGCTACACCGTAAGGAAGCTGCCTTCTCACAATGAACTGGTAAGCTGAAGAGTGGGCTTGGAGAGAACTACAGATTGAAGCTGAAGGCCGTGAACTGCACCTCTCGGCCGGTCTTTGCATAGAAGTGGAGAGCTGAGTGTCCGTTATCATTTGCTTTTATTACTGTGAGATGAGGCGACCAGGTAAAGTAGTGTACTCCGTCTGCCCTTTGTCATAAGCACCAGTGTGTGGCCTGGCAGGGCTCTGACGCCGAAGCGGAGGAAAGTGCAGAGGAGAGGCAGAAGACAAACTGAGCACCATCAACCTACTCTTCGTTACGCCAACTACGTGCGTGACTGAATCCATATTCCGTATTTCAAAAGCCATGGCGACGTTAGCGGCCGCCGTTTACGCTGAGGTGTGCCTCTTAATCAGAGTGTTTTCTGCATATGCGCAGCAAGAGGGGCTGGTGAGAGCAGCTACCATAGAGACCACTGCATTGACACACACACACACAAAGACCAAAAAACAAAAAAGCGCAAAATAACGATATAACATCAACAACAGCAATGACGATAACAACAGCAATGTTGACAAAAAAAACAAAACAACACTGGCAATTCCAGAAGGGAAATACCCAATTGATCATACAAAGTACATGAAACGAACCTGTCCACTTCCAGCTAAAGTGATCTTTGCATGAGAGGGAGAAAGAGAGTCTATGAGAGTGAAGTTGAGACGAGGTCGAGTGCTGGCGCAGTAGTAGTACGTACTGATTGGCCAGGTCTGAAGGAGCCACTGCTCCGGCCCAGGCAGGTCTGTTCTGGCATCTGGTGCGCCGGCCTGGCACAGCGGGTCAAAAGTCAGAGCGTGGGCACCTGAGGCGCCACAGCAGATAGGCACTCAACGGCCACACTTATCATACAGGTAGGCAGGGCCACCAGGCCAGGGGGCCCCACAGAATCCATTAGAAACATTACAACACGTCTAGCATCTCCAGACAAAAAGGCTAATGATTTTGGAGTACTTTAACAGTGATATTTACTTTGATATATATCATCTAAAAAAAAAAAAAAAAAAAACAACAACGCGAGAACACTTCAGTCTTGTTGTGGTGTTTTTTCCCCCTCATCAGACATCCCTTCGTTTTGCTACCATTTTCGAAATGTCTGATTTCAAAGTCGAAAGGCTGTGGAAAGACGAAGAAGAAATGAAACGGCAAAATCCGTTTAGAGTTCAAAAAGGAGCATGGAGGAGAAGTTCGGTAGATTGCTTTTCATCGTTGCTTTTTGTCAGTTTCACACGTACACGTGTAATTTGTTGGCATTTAAGTCGGAGCTTGATGCTCTTGCTAAGTGCTATGAAGAAACCACGCCGCCTTTGTTCCATACTTTTGTACCAAATACAACAACAACGAAAAAAAAAAAAGCACTTTGTCAACTGGGTTACAAGAAACACCTCTTATTTGGTTTGAAGCCCCTGTTGCCCCTGTAGTCACACTTGTCCTTGAGTGTGTAGAGGAAGTGCTAGTGAATGTTTCATCACCATGGGCTTACACACTGACAGAGTCCTCTTCTGTCCAGTCCCATGCTTGGTGGTGGAGCTGGAGACGAGTCTTTGATCCCTCCCGTCTCCAGATGAGCTCCGACCGTTTCACGGCAAAAAAGCACTGCGTAAAGGACGGAAGAGTCTGTGGCATATATTGCACGTCAGACGAACGACAATAAGGACTAGTGTTTTTCGAGAGGCCGAGGTCATTTAGGACAATTAAAGAAAAAAAAGAAAGTAGTCCATCTGAAAAGTGTTTCCTGTACAGTTTTTTTTTAGATAAGTGGTTAATATATTCCTCAGCTGTCCACATGTCCTCTCAGTTTAAGAATAAATGCCTCAAATGTGCAGAGGGGTCATATACATGTCCGTCCTTTTGAGAGTAATGAGGACTGGATGGCAACCGAGGGAAACGAGGACGACGAATGCGCGTATGCTGCGGCTGACATACAACCCATGACAGTCCTGGCTCAGAAATGAGAAAATGTGCAATTCTCAAGATGTTTCTTCAGAGTACAAGTGGAGTGGGACTGATCAGCAGTTAAGGCTAAAGTTTAGTGCTGTTAATTAATCCGAACAATCCAAAAGGACAACTGAAAAAAAAAAAAAAAGCCAGTCCAAAACACAGGGAGTGGGGAGAGTTGGTTTGGAATGATGCATATTTCTTCGGGAGAGGGCAATATGCTGTGTTTGGGCTGACAGGATGTGCTCGAGCCAGAGGAATTGAAAACAAACGGCAGCTTGTCTCATCGGTTTGTAGTAAAATACACTTTCACACTGGTATCAGTTAATAGAGAAAAGTTTCTGTAAAAGGTTCACTTCTCTTTTAGTCACGGTGCTTCGTAAGAAGTCTATAGAATACTGTAACCCAAGCCTAATGATCAAAATAACACAGATGAAAAGACGCAAAACCAAACCAAAAAGTAGATGAAGGTCAGCAGCCTCTATGCAAGTGTGGCCTCAGCCTCCTGTCTCTTGGTTTTTCACAGTTCCACTGACGCTGATTATCGCCAAATGATTTGCTTGGTTTTTGCTCTTGAAGTTTCATATTTCGCTGCGGTAGGGGGTCGAGCGCTTGGCACTCTCACATGGACTCTCCACTCAGCAGGTCTCCAGGAAGCAGCGTATTGATTGGGGTGGGGCTCCCTACCACTCGACCGTCCTCGCCGCTGGGCGGCCCCCACAGGCTGGAGTACTGCGGTACACCCCCCCACAGCAGCTCGTTGCTTGCCTTACCGCCGGACCCCGTCCCGCCTGCTCCGCCTCCCAGACTGCTGCTGTTCCAGTGGCCGATGGGGTGTGTGGCCGCCGTCCCTCCGCCTCCCAGCCGAGTTTGATTGGTGCCGGGGTTGGCCTGCCAGCTGGTGGTGTGCGTGAGGGACTGACCCTGTGCAAAGAAGCGGTTCACCTCCTCTTCTCCAGCAAACTCTGCCAGTATAGTGGTGTTTCCCAGAACACACCTGAAAGTATTTAGAGAAAGAGAACAGACGAATGTGATCATTTAGTTGAGGTTGATTCCTCAAAAAAAGAGAGAGAGAAAAAAAAGAAAGGTGAAAGATTTATGTACATGTGTAGGGACTTCTGGGCCTTGGCAGCCTCCTCTTTAGAACTGTAGCGCACCACGGCATTGCCCTGCGTCAGGTTGAGATGGAATGTGATAAGCGGGCCGTGCTGCATGCACAGTGTCCGCAGTGTTGAACCATCAATCTAAATATCACATAACAGAAAGAGCCGATTTATAACACTGCAGACAATTCACCAAGAAATTATAAGTCAATGAACATAACAGTAGCCACAAGAATACCTGTGGTGTGAGGTTTCTCAAAACCAACCAGCTAGTGCTCCTGCTGGAGCTGTCTGTACTCCATGTGGTACCTACTAAGAGAGAAATTAATACTTTAACGCCGAACATTTAACAATAGTCCATTAATATAACCATTACAACAGTCTAAGAATTAAAGTAACAAATTATAGTTTGGGGCAAGCAAGATAAAAAAAGAAAAAAAGAAGAAACAAATATTTTTATTTAAAGCAAGGATGCATTAAATTGATGAAAAAGTGACAGTAAAGACATTTATAATGTTACAAAATATTTCTTTCAAATAAATCCAGTTATTTTGAACTTTCTATTCATTAAAGAATCCTGAAAATATATATATTTTTTTTTAAATCACAGTTTCCACAAAAATAATATATAAGGTCACCTCTGTAAACATTTGCTTTTATTAAAAATTTATTCTGATCAAATATTATTTATATATTATAAAATGGTTAGTTCCAATCCTTGATTCTGATTGGTCAATAGCTGTGCTTTATTCATGATAAAACATGGCTATGACCGCTTTACCCAACGGTTCTATTTATCACTGCGCAACACCCTTAGCAACCACCCGTATCTAAGGAAACACTGCTGAGCCCCAACTAAAGACAAGCGCATCGAATACCAGCACAGTGGAGCCGATTGAAATGAGACAAATATTTAATGCATGCACAATAAACGGAGATGTTCAAATAAATTTAAATAAACAACAATGAAAAAAATGTACCTCTTGTTAGGCAGCATTCTAGCAACTAAATTAATAACATTAATAAAATAGATAAAATAGGCTACCTATCAAAATATGTGCCCTTGTGTTTTTATTTATGTAAATATTTAGTAAGGTTTATTTATGAGCAGAGAGAAATTAACGGAATAAACGGAAAATTAACGTTAACTGTCTCATGCTGAGAGATAAGCTATATTTGTGTGAGGAAATATTACATTCTGTGTTGTAAAAAAAAAAAAAGAAACAAAGTTTGAGAACGGTTCCTATGTTGTTTTTATTTGAGCTTTCATGCATATTACACATTGGAACGTTGTTGCTGTTCACGGTCAGGGACTTTTTTTTCTAGCGGAAGGAAGGCTTTTAGCGATTTTACTTCATGAAAGTTGCACTATACATATTTTTTTTACTTTAATATTTTTATTGTGTGGTAAACGTTTTATAAAAGCAATAAGGTACTCGAGGCTAGTGCTGTATCGTGAATAACTCATTCACGATACAGCACAGCCTCTCGAACCTTATTGCTTAATTATAATAGACATATTATTTCTATTTTATTACTAAATTTTATTGCCATCATCTAACGTACACTAATATTTAATAACATTGTTAAATGTAATCCTTAGCAAATCTCAAAATTAATATACATTGTTAATGCTGTATATTAATGTAATGCCTTAATCCACTTGTAAAATTTAAACTGGTTTCATGGTTTTAATTTTATTTAGACAAAATAGTATTGAGTTTATCATTGGCCATAACCTGAAAACAATTAACAGATTATCGGTATTGACCAAAACATTAATATCGGTTCATCCCTATGTCATGATGCACAACCCGTGGTCAACCCTTAACTTTCATTGTACGAAAATAGAGTGTGAACATTATGCTGAACATCATGAAAGCCATATGGGTTTAGAATGACATGAGAGTGAGTAATTTATAAATATTTTATTTTTGGATGAACTGCCCCTTTTTAATGTTTCGACATCACATTTTTCTACAGCATAAAACGTATTGTAAACAACTGCTTCAGTTATAAGTCAAGGAAGTGTGATCAAGCAACAGCGTGTGAATGTTGACTAACACACGACATATGCGAGACCACAAAAAAAAAAAGTTAGCTCCGCCCACCAGAGCCTGTGCTTGCAAACGCTCCAACCGTTCCAAACCTCATCTCATTTAACCCTCAACGTTTTGACTAGCGTTCACAACCACATAAAACAGTTAACTGACAAAATTCAACTGCTGTTTCAATATGCCCACACCTCCGCCTACGAATAGCTGTGCAAACACATATCCGCCTGGGATTAAACTGCGCCTTTCTCACACACACACACACACACACACACACACACACACACACACACACACACACACACACACACACACACACACACACACACACCTGAGGAGTAGGAGCCGCTCCAGCCAGCCACGAGGCCCAGGGTGTTTCCGCCCCACATGGACGAGGACTTGGTGTTGGTCAGCCCCGGAGGTGGCCGTGTGGGAGCCGTTGTGTTCCGGGGTCCTTGTGGGACTTTCCAAAGCTCGTGAGAGAGAGAAGGCTGGGTGTGTGAGATGGGCCCTGGGGACCAAGTGGACTTCATGTCAGACAGCTTGCCTGTAGATCAGAGGTGTGAATGTGTAAAAAGGTCAGAAGAGGAAACGGAGAGTATGCTGACAGACATCTTATTTACTGTTCCTAATTCTGTGCACCCCAGAATTAGACATACTGTGGTGAAATGTGTTCTCACAGCAGTCATAGTCATTGAGGCACCACCGCAAACAGGAAAGAGAGGGTCCAGGCCCATGTGTGACATCATAAGAGTAGATGCCTCACAAAAAAAAAAGAAAAAAAAAGTGCCCTCTCACCACTTTCACCTCACAAAAATCACAGACAGCAGGTGACCATGCTGCACAAAGACTAACACCACTGAGGGGATATACGGATGAATGTAGGCGGGACAGAGCTCTCTAAGGGGTACAGGGCCATTCTTGAGTCGGATGCACTAGATATACAGGAATGCGGCCACCGTTTTGAGGCCCCATGCTAGGTTGAACGGTAAGAAAAGGCTGTGATGGGGAGGATTGAGGGCAGGAAGGGGATTCTGGGAGTTGTACCTGTGCTGTCTGCCTCGGGGGAGGACAAACTGAAAGAGCTAGTGACTGGCCAATCGCTGGAGGGAGGCAGAGCCTCACCCTGTGAGGAAGTTGGGGTGGAACCTACAATGTGTCCCGAACAAAGCAGGCAAGAATTCAAAGTGAAAATCAGAAAAATAATACATGTGAAGAAAAAAAACAAAACTTAGTGGTTGCTTTATGTGAAAAAAAAAAGTCATTCGAAACATAATACTGCAATCCCTTTTATTCAAAATATATATATGATTTTTACTAGAAATGGTAAGATAATGGGATTTGTTCAGGCTTTGTGCTTCCAGTGTCATCTGAAAATAAGTTCACTGAAAGATCATTTCTTTGAAGAGAAAAGGTGATCGGTCCTCTTACCTCCACTCCTGTCTCTCAGCAGGTAGCGGTTAACATCCTGAATGTTGGTGTTGATGGTGGGCCCACTGGGAACACTCCCTGGGGTCATATTTGGGTCAGTCTCAGGGTCAATATTCTGCAGTCCTTTCCAGGGTACTCCTGGACAAAACTCTGAGGGAATTCATACAAATCAGATCATGACAGATATGACACATTGTCTGATACATATAGTATTTGAACATACTCAAAAATGTGGGATTCTCTTTGCATTATATAAATATTTCTCATCAGCTGAATCAACCTTTATGATTTAATTAATTTTTAGCTCATTATTAACTCACAAACCCCCAGGGTTTTGAAAACTTAGCATTTATTAAAAGAAATATAGCACAAACACAAAAACAAAGTAAAGTTTGTTAATCTTCAAATGATAAAATAATAGATATATTGTTCAACAAAGAATTTCAATATTTTACGACATTAGTGGATTATGTTAATGTAAAGACCTACACCTAGTTATTCTGCTGGACACCTAGGCAAAAGTCAGTTGAAAAATGGCTAATTATTCATGTATTTATTTTTTTGCAGAGGCTACATGATTTGATATTTGATATTAAGGTTTGATATTTTTTCATACAGTGTAATGCCATTCAATTATTTTAAGTGTGACCTAAATGTCCAAAAGTACTCAAACATTTTTGAGTCCTTTCAGTGCTTTCATAATACTAGAACTAGTCCAAAGAGATTTTAGAGATGTCAGTCACCTGGAGGCCAGTTGATATTGGTCCCATTGGAGATCTTGTCATTGGTGTTCTTTCCCTGGCCCCAGCTATCATGAGGTGCCAGAGGGCTGGCAGGAGACTCAGAGCTGGGAATCAGATTGTAGGGACTGTAGGAGTCATCCAGCTGGGGCTTACTAGGGTGACCCAGACTGGGGCCAGCAGAGTGCCCTGTATAAAATAGGTGGTATGGAATATCATCAGTATCAGGCCTGAAATTAACCACTATGCCACATATTTACAATACTGATAAATGTAACAGTGATGCGTACCATGCTTGCTGTAGTTGGGCTCCATTGGAGAGGAGTTCCCAGATAGGTTCTCCATGGAGTTAGGGTGTGTCCACTGTGACAGGCGTGACTGAGGCTGAGGAGAGTCCTTAATGGACAGGCCACCCACCTCCATGCAGTTTACATTCATGTTGGGATTTAATCCAGCTATAGAGAAGCACATTTGCAAGGATCAGCGGGGGTGCGTTTAAAGAGAAAATAAGTTCCCAAAAATTCCCATGACTTTTTGATATAATTTCTAGTCATTTGTTACTGAATAGGAGATTTTAAAAATCATTGTGATTTGGACCTATTGGCCAATTAATCATTCAGGTCAATCATTGTGAACCGGTGTGACTGACTCATTGAAAAGAATGGATAATAAAAAAAAGATTTGCTCACAGGTTGAACATCAATAGGGCTTGCAAAAAAACAAATTGATCTGTACCAAATAGCACTATCTAGCTAATGAACCATTTTAAAGCAGAGAAAAACTTGAAATATATATTCTCTACAGAAATTCCCATGACGTTTCCAGGACTTTAAAAATCCCATGGCAATTCCAGGTTTTCTAGGACTGTGGGAACCTTGGATAGAAGAACATTTTGATCTCTACTTGTCTAAACACAAAGAATTCAATAGCAGACAGTGTTGGCAACTCACAAATAGGGTAGGGTGAGAAGGAATTTGGAGAAGACTGTGGCTCTTTGGTCTGAAGGTCGGAAACAGAGAGGCTGGAGATCTGGGGATGGGATGGAAATGTGTCCAGAGCTGATTTGCCTGCGCTGGGATGCAGTCCCGGGTGTGAGGGGGGTGGCTGCTGCTGCTGTTGTTTCATCAGCAGAGCCTGAGCCAGCTGCCGCTGGTGCTGCTGGATCTGTTGCTGCATGTTATTGATTGTACGTGCAACCTACAAGAGGACATTGTGAACACAGAGCAGGCTGAACTTTAAAGGCGGCTGAGATTTAAAATAGAAACAAACAAGCAAATCAGTATTGAGAATCATGAGATTTTAATGGTATCATGATGGCACTTGTTGGAAGAGAACTGCTCACTTGCTGCTCTTGCTGTCGGATGGGGCCAGAAACACTGCGCTGTGCCTGCAACATCTGCTGCTGAATTTGTAAACGCTGGTACGCCTGCAAAATCATTGAGACAAATTTACATTACGATGAGACATTAGGAGTGAAATTTAAGATTATGCTGAAAAATAAAAAATACATTCTTTAAATTAGATGAAAGTATCAACAAGTTGTCAAAAAAATGGCACTTACCAGTTGCAGCTGATAAAGTTGGTTCAACAGGGTCATATGCTGAGGGTTTATTGGTGAGGTTAAAAGTGCAGGGTTGAGACCAATGTTTTTTGCTGCAAACTGTAAAAGCTGTGCTTGAACCTTTCAGTGAAAAAACAATCAGAGTTCAGCATGATTTCATCACTCCTACACAATACTCAAGTGGTGAAAAACTGTGTGTCACCAAATTAAATCAGTGTAACAGTAAGGTGCTAAATAGGGGTGGGACAAAATATTGATAGGGCAATATATTGTTGTCCTTATCCGTGTGATACGAGAATCAATACACTGGCACCAAATATTGATATTTTAATTAATAAAATAAGGTGCTCTAAATTGATTTCCCTGTTCCTAGCGTCGCTACTTCATGGCTCCTCGAGGTGGCGCTCAACACATGAATGAAGAAAACGTGAACATAAGTTAACTAGCCTAAGAAAAAGAGGTTTTTAACGGGATGGCGGACAGCAGTGTGAGTAAAATAATAGATGCATATATGCACAGACATGTGTTGAGTGCGTGAACACAATGGCCAATCAGAGGAGTTTAAGAATCTGCTCAACAGCGCTCAAAATGCAAGGGGGAAATGCTAGTGTCAATGCTTTGTAAAAAGTCGTTTCCTTTGACAACACTATTGCTTCCCAGGTTTATTTTAAGGAAGCTGGTAAACACTTTAGAAGTAGGTCAATTTTGAAATGTACCAGGTTTATATAAAACAAGTTGATGAGCAGTTAAATGTGTCAGTTTACACAAAGAAAAGTTTAAGCTTTTAAAAAGTATAAGCATAAAATGCTTCATTTATGCTTCATTTACTTAAAATGTTAAATTTAATTTACAGACTGAAAAACTTTTTGTGCTGTTTTCTAACAGTTTGGAAATCTGCACAACCTTTTCACAGGCATTTTGTTTTCATAATTAGACAAATATCGTGATGTATCATTATAGGATTGTCTAGCAATATACTGATTATCGCAGAATTGCTGTATCGTGATGATATCGGTATCGTGAGCCATGTATTGTGTATCGTATCGTGAGGTACCCTGTGATTCCCACCCCTAGTGCAAAACCAATTGTGTCCATGTCTGTGCACACCTGAGGGCTGAGAAACTGAGGCACTTGAGCGCGAAGACTAGGCTGGGACGAGTTGTGAGGTGGCACTGACGGCTGGGGAGGAGGCTGCTGCTGCAGGGCCCGGGCTTGTGCTGCTCCGCTACTACCAAACACTCCACTCTGCATCTACAAAAACGCACACAAAACTACTCATTTGGAATCTGACTTCATGACGATATGCTCATAGCTGTTATGCTGCAGGTTTAATGTGGGCAATATACCAATATCTACACAGAAATGTGGACGATGACTAATGCCCCGTTTACACAAAGGGAAGACGCAGATATTTCCCTGCGGTTTGGCCTCTCATTCACACAAAAACCCAGTTTTTATCACAGAAAACGAAAAACCCGGCTCTAAATACCCGGCTATGTGTAAATGTGGCCTAATATAATGCTGAAAAACAGTGACCCCAAAAAGTATCTGAGCACTTAAGCCACACTTACGAAATTAATATTTGTTTGTAAGAATGTCACTGTATTATATAAAACTAAATACAGACATAAAACATAAAAGACAGACAGACTTTTAAAAAAGTTAAATAGATATACAAAAACAATAGATATGGTTTAATATCTAAGACAAATATACATAGATCCTCATAGACCCACCTGTCTGTTGTTCAAGTTTTGCATTGCAACTCCAAGGCTCTGGCCAGGGAGTGAAGCACTACCCAATGGGAGCTTCAGGCTCGGAGAAGGCATAAACGGTGAGGTTTGGGCATCATCTGCTAGCCCAGCATCCTAAGAAACAAAAAAACAAAAGTCAAACAATATCCACCACAATGTAAAGTCTTCTAGATGGAATAACCAGAATGTGCTGATTTTTAATTGTGAGAAGCACAAACCTTGTCCAAGAAGGGGGGGCGATCTGAAGAGGATTCTTTGGAGATGACTAAAGGCCTGCAGCCCATTGGTTTATTGACTAGGCCGTTGTTATAGTCAGAGATTGCCATCCCCCGTTTATCTAGTTCGGTCTTCTTCTCCAAAAGGGCGCCTACAACACAACAAATATTTAAATACAATATTCTAGCAAAGAAACTCTGAAGGAATTGAAGATTTTGCAGGTATGACACCTACTCATGGCCTGATCCAAGTTCATGTTGTTGCTCTTGAGAGCCTCTTCTGCAGGGTCTCTCTGCAAAGGCAAACACAGTAAAAACCCATATATTAACCATTTGCATTAATAAATATTCATTTTAAAAAGCCAATACATTTGTAACTAAACATTTATAGCAATATGTAAGGGATAACGTACAACTAGCCAGTCAGTATCACAAAATAAACCCCAGGCACAACAGTCAAATATACAGACGGATATTAGGGATATTTACAGAGATAAGCAGCACTTACAGGGAAGCCCATATCAGTCAGCTGCTTAATGAGACGACTCATTATCCAGGTATCATCCTGTTTGTTTGGGACTTTTCCCTTTAAACAAAAACAGAGATCAATGAGCTCAATCTGCAGCATGTAATGTGACTAACACTTTTTTATTTTTTTTTACCTTTGGTAGACTCTTTTTGGGTGGGTTGCCCCAGGAGTTGCAGGAGGAGTTGCTCTCCTGAGATGCAGTGCTGTTCCACATGTCGCCGTCATCCTGTTCCCATTGCCCTGCAGACATGCCCATATCCTCACCACCTCCCCAGCCATCTTGCATAGATTTGGGGGCTGGAGGATGAAAAGATAGACTTTTGGAAGCGTCCATAGTACAGATCAATATTTGTAAATGGTTATGTTTACAATTAAAAGAAACAAACAAATTTTTCCTTGCTCAAATAGCAAAACATGTACAATCCTACAATGCATTATTTACAACAACAGGGGGCCCTGTTGTTGCACATTTCAAAGCTCTGATAACTAGCATCTGAACAACATCGATTTCCAACACTGTTAATTTGCAACTGGATAATTGCATTTTTTTTTAAATCACGCAAAATCATTTAAAGCACTTTTTTTTTTTAATATTCAAATAAATGTAAATGAATAAAACTAACCAGGTTTGCAGGGGGCAGATCCAGGGGGTCCGTTGCCTCGACCATAAACCTCAGGGCCATTATCACCCCAGCCACCTTGGGGTTTGCCCCATGCAGAAGTGCCATTGTCCACACTTGCTGCAGGGGCGGCTGGCTCCCCCCATGAGGGCTCAGGTTTTGAATGGGCATTTGACATCTCACCCCATCCTGCAGAGAAATATTGCAAACTTCAGAACAAGTGCACCTTAAGTTAAGTTTTCACTGCATATTAAGTAATGTACTAAATGCTTTAAAGGTTGGCACCATGTAGTACAGACAGTGGGGTCCAAAAGTTAGATATCTTCTATTTTGCATTTTCCCCCTCTAAAAATTATATTACCAGCATAACAATTCTATTTTGCATTTTCCCCCTCTACAAATTATATTACCAGCATAACACATGGAGTGCAAAGTTGACTTAAAAAAATGAACACGAATTTAAGAACTTATTCATTTTAAAACATATACTGTAATTAAAGCTTTGCTTTATTTAAAAAACAAATGTAACTTGGTAAGCTCCACTGTCTTAAAATGGAATAATAAGCTACAATATTAAATGTCTGTTTAGTTCTTGGCACATGGGAGAACTGAGGATGCCATGTTAAATACAGCTTTGGCACTGGGAGTGTAAAGCTACACACAAACAGCAGAGGGCGTCGGGTCTGTTCCAAGTATCCTGCTGAGGAATAATGATACTCCCCACAGATGGCGACCCAACTCTAATTACACACTTCCTCCTGGCTCAAACACTATAGCCGTGTTTCCACCGCAATTACCAGGAACTATTTGTCCCAGGAACTTTTTTCATAGGAACTTTTTTTGCCCCAGAACGGTTGCTCACTGCGTTTACACCATGGACTAAAGTACCGGGAAGTTTAGTCTGGTGACGTTGAACTGCGTGCGACTGCTCCTCCCAGTCTGCGCGTACTTGTTTTGAGTTTTAAGTATTGAGGAGATTCAAGCTGTGCTGCTTTTGTGTGCGATCTATTGGTTTACTAACGAGGTAATTAACAAAACGGCAGAAAAGAGACGAACACTAATACCAAAGCGTATTCATTTCAGAAAGCTCGTAATGCTAGATAGACAACGTTTGTTATCAGCTATAGCGGACATGACCATGAGATGGATGGGACGAACGCGCGCCATCCGGCAGAGAGAACAAGGTAAAAGAACCATAGACAGTGGAAAAGAACCAATCAGCATGTTCAGCGCACAAGTCCCACCCCGAAAGTTCCTGAACTCTGAAAAAGTACTACCTCGCCAGCAGGGACTTTCTGGGGGGGAAATTTTTACCCGGAACTTCATTTAGACCCTGGTTCCTGCGGTGTAAACACACGGAGTACCACCCCAAAGTTCCTAGTTCCTGGGGAAAGTTCCTGCGGTGGAAACGCGGCTTATGTTGAACTTCACTCATAGACTGAATGTAAACACTATTCTGTTAACATGAACTGTTACTTTTTTTGTTTCTTGATTTGTATGGCATTATAATCAAAAGTATAGTGATACGTTTTAACTAATTAAAGGTCATTGACAATAAATGCCAAAGTAAAGAGTCTTGTTTCTTACCTGGATTCATGTGGGTTGTTCTACTGTGAGGCGGTCCAGTTTGATGTGGGCCAGCATTATCAGGGGAAATGTTATTATTGTTTGAGTTTGGACCTCCATGGCTGTGAGCCTGCACAGGAGGTTGGTTATGGTGGGGATGATGATGATGGTTGTTGGGTACATTGTTGGCATTGCCAGGTCCTGGTTTGCCTTGGATACCAGGGTTATTCCTGTCCCAGAGATTGACTGTCTTGTTGTAAGTGCTTGGGTCCCCCCAAGCTGAGGTACCGTCATCGATCTCCATCTTACGGCGGATGGAGGGTGGAGAGGGCTCTTCCCATCCAGTGGGGTCTCCAGTATGGTCAGGTTTAGAACCTCCACCATTTCCTCCACTCCATCCAGAGCCACTCTGCTTTACAGAGCTAGGACCTCCCCAAGAACCCATGCTTCCACTGCCACTATTGCCATTGGTGCCCTCTTGAGGCTTGTTATTCCATCCTTGTGGTGGCGCACTGGGGCGTTGTGCATCTCCCCAGTTTCCCCCTACTCCCGGGGCAGGCTTTCCCCATCCCCTGGAGCCCTCGTTCCAGCTGGTACCCTCTCCCTCCCAGGTAGAGCTGGAGGGACCATTTTTCTTTCCATCTCCAGGTTCACCCCATTCTCCTCCAGACCCACTTTCTCCACCAGGTCCATTGCGCCATCCGTGAGATTGTTTGTGCCCCTCAGCCCAGCCCTGTGGTTTGGCTTTAGAGTGACTGTCTTCCCAGGTAGGAGACTTATCCCCTGAACCCCAAGTCTGACCACTTTTTTGCAGGTTGCCGCCTGGGCCTCCGGCTGGGGTACTGCTCCAACTTCCAGGACCACTGGAAGGTTTCTTGTTGCTGGTTGGATCAGCCCAACCAGAGCTAGCCTGGGGGGATGGCATGGCTGTGGCCCATCCAGATGCAGCTCCAGTACTAGGACAGGGGCCCTCATTCTTGCCTCCAGAGTCAGGTCTGGATGTAGTGCCAGAGTTTGGGTTGGCACTGCCAGAAATTGGTGTTGGTCCTACTTTGACTGCATTTGATGATGAGCACCAGGCTTCAGTTCCAATGTCATTCTTGCGGTTGGAGCGTGCAGCTTCTTCAATCTCCCAAGCTGTGTGCTGCCGCACTGGTGTTTGTCCCCAGCCGGTGTTGCACAGAACCCGAGGGTCCATATCCTGGGCTGGCAGAATAGGGGGAGCCTCATCTCTTGATGAGTGGTCCCTCATGCGAGGATGGCATTCCATGCTGTCACTGCTTCCCTCACTAGCTGTAGCATTGGCCCCACGGACCCAAGAATTGAGCTGCTGCTCTTGGGTGGGAGAGCATGAAGAATCCCATCCTTTGGCCTCACTGTTGGAATGCTTACCCCAGTCCCCAGTTGAGGCAGCTTGTCCCCAGCCAGAAGTGCCTGAGGCCCCTCCTTGTCCCCAGCTGCTCCCTGAGTCCCAACCAGAGTCTTTTGAGCCACCACCAGATTTGGCATCTCCATTACCCCAAACAGATTCCCCGTCTCCATTGACTTGCGATGCTCCTCCTGGAGTTTGAATAAACGAGCCCATGCCTGCAGGGCCAACGCCCCAGTTAGACAGGCTGTGGCCTGGGCTTCTGGGCTCCTGCTTAGTGTGATTTGGTCCATCAGTGTTAAGGTTCGGAGGTTCGGAGATGAAAGACACATTCGTGGATGGGGTGGAGTGTGGCTCTGAGGAGTCACTGAGCACAGTGCTACCCCATGTGGTGCTGCCATTGCCACTGCCACCATTACCTGCAGAATTTCCATTGGCACCACCCATACTGCCACTGCTGCTAGAGCCCTGGCTGGGCAAAGTGCCCGGTGGGCTACAGAGATTAGGAGGAGGAGGGTTGCTTCCTCCTGAGCTGCCGCCACCCATGCCGGTCCCTTCATGTCCCAGAACTGGCCAGGCAGAGGGGTTGGCGTTGGGGTTTAAGTTCAAGTTAAAGTTGGAGGAGCCCCAACCCCTGGCTCCCACTGATGTGCTGGAGACTTCATTCTTCCCTTCTCCTCCACTGGCAGGAGAAGGGCCAGAGCCCCAGCCTCTGCTGGCCCCACCCTGACTAGAGAGCAGACCTCCTGAGTGGCCGGCATTGGCTTTGCTGGGGTGATTGGTGGAGAAATGGCCTTGCTGGCCAGCTCCTGTGGCCATGCTCATGCTGCTGATGTCACTGATACTTTCAGTATCCAAGGGGCATCCTGCAGGTGCGTGGCTTTCTTTGCATGAAATGGAAGGCCACGCCTCCGTATCGCGCTCGTCAATAATCAGTGGATCCCAGCCGCTGCAGCTGTTGGTAGAGGCTGTAGTGGCACTGCGACTGAGGGATATATTCTCATACTGGGCTGCCAGGCCACTCTGTGGGGGCAGCTCTAGAAAAAGAATTGGAGAGAAAGAAACAAACTATTAAGATACTGTGACTGTAATATATATTAATTTAATTAATTCATGAGATTATCACAACAACATTATTTTCTTTATAGACTACATGTTATTACGAAATACATTATATGTATAAAAAGTAATTGTCAATACTGCATTAGATTATAATTAGATTTTGGAAAATATTTTTATAAAAAAATAAAATATGAAAACACTTTCTATACAAATACAAAGTTTTTAGATAATGCATTTTATTATTTGCATAACAAAAATAAAAACATCTAAAATTACCATTTAATGCAAGATCTGCTTAGACTGATCAAAACATTTTTTTTTTCTTTAAGACAAATTAGGTTTTACATCAGCATGGTAGCCTTGGTCATAACCTATAAAAAAATATAATAAAAATGCACCTTCAAAAATGCAGGTTCACATGTATGTGCTAGCCTGGAGTCATTATTTTTCACTGCTGTCACCACAAAACCTACCAACCACAACCATCTCCCTCTGCTGGACTGACAGGTTACAACCACAGACTTTGGTTTCAAAGATGTTCATTCTAAATCTGATCTGACACATTGAGCTCAACATTGAAAGCAGTGCAAATGCCCACATATGGATAATAGGATCCTGTTGTGTTCATTTGTTGGCAAATTCTGCCCAGCCTCCTGGCACTCACTCAACTCTGTTGTTTTTGTGTGGCTTTGCATGCGCAGACAGCTCAGTTTGTGTCAGATCTGAGCAAAGCAGCAGTAGCAGCGTTCGTGCACAAAGCTTTGTGTCACCAATCACGCAAAAAACCCTTTCAACTAAAGATAAAGAAGAGGGAGTGTATAAAAGAGAGGATAGTGCATTTCCAACACAAACGCTGTCCTTCTAAAGAGTCACTGCGTAGTAAAGGACGCCATTTTATCAAATCTGAACTGAAGCCAAAAAAGCTTAGAGCTGCCGTCAACATCTTACAGTGTCTCGCTACAGAAAGCTTATCAGATGAGCACAGCAAACCTCTGCCCTGCATTAATCTCTAACAAGCAATGCAATAGCTTTAAGGATTCGCGTTTTATTTGCAGTTATTTGAATGATACGCTTCCAAATCAAACAGCAGCAGTACAGCAGCGAGCAAAGGAAATGCCTGTTATCAGCGCGTGGAGGATCGTACTATGAGGTTGGAGGGGGTGGGGTCAAGAGAAGTGGAAAAGTACCTGAAGAGAGATGTCGCCCAACCATCCTGAGAGAAGCGCTAGGCTGCGTGCAGAGCACTGGCCATCCCTGTTACAATATGTCTGCTGCTCGAGAGGCTTCTGAGGCTCATATTTGAAATGCTGCCAAGGAGCTGCAGCTCAGTACACGAGCGACCGCCCCGTTTGTCCCTCACAGCTTCGGCAGGATCCGATCTCTGTTCCCTCACCCAGGCTTTATTTATATCTACCTCTATTCCTGATTCGGAGAGGAGACTCTCGTGAGGGAGGGGAAAGGGGTTGCATGGGAGTTGAAGGTTAAAGCCAAAAGCATTCCGTTGTGCCATTAGGAGGGAGGAAAAACAAAACAAAAAAAGAGAGATTCCTTTTTTTGTGCACCCTTCTCTTCTTTCATGCTTTCAAACTGTCACAAAACATTTAGCCGAGACCATTCAGACTGCAATTAGCACCGCTGCTCACAATAGAGCGAGCTGAATAGATGCACAAAAGCAAGCCAGCCTCAGAGCATAGGCTGCACTGCAAGGACTGCAAACACAGAAGCACACACAGCTCCCTGTCATAATGGCTAATTTTTAGTATAGTCTTCTTGTAATATTAAAAGTACAGTGGGTGTGTGAAGTTGTAGCTCTGCATACTAGAGGCGCAGTCCTAAGTTTAGAGGAAAACAACACTTCAATGGCTGAATGGGAAACAGGATAAACACACCAAATGAGGCTCACATGTAGGCGGGCAGGTGGCCAAGGGCTAAATGTCTGTGCAGAGTGTGCCCGCGCTTTAATGATGCAGAGGAGACAAAAAGACAACCGGAAAGCATGCATGCTGGGAGAAAAGAAGGGATGCCTCCAGTACAGGAGAGATAGAAACACAGAAAATGAGATGAACACTTACAAAAGCACACTAGCTCTTGGCATCAAGGAGGGCATTGTTTACAAATGATCCCAGCGCCTCCTATATACACAAAACACCAAAGTCCGAAGAGAACAGACTCGTATTATACTCCAACTCAGAGCCAGCTTTTTCTAGCCAAATATGCAATGATGTAATCAAAGCCTCATTATTGATTATTCCCTTTTCTCCAAATGACCCTTTTATGAAAACCCTCAAACAAGTAGATCTAAATGCTAGATTTTATTTAGGTTTTACTACCTAAATAGTTATTGGTTGGTTTTGTTTGTGTCTTTCTGTGGTAACTAATACAGTAAGAGTGCCAGAGTACTATCCAGGCAGCACGATGCAGCCGAGGAAGGGGAAAGGAGTGAGTTTAGCATCCTGTGTTGGCCATTACTATATTCATACCATGCTTAAAATGGCATCTTCGCTATAATTAAATGGCCTATATAAAAACGCACTAAATGTGTTTAAACCAGTGCTGTTTTAGGATTTTTTTCTTTATTGTAGTTTATTAATTTTTGAGTTCGCTTTTATTTGTATACTTTACACAGGTTTCATTTTAATTTTAGTTTAACCTTTAGTAACTATGTAATGAGCTTGCCATTTTCTTTTACTTTTTAAAATATTTCTAAATAGTTTACATTTTTTTATTTTAGTTTTAGTTAAGTATTAATACTTCAACTTATTTCAGCAAGTTGCCAAGGCATCAATTCTAATTTGTTTCTTTTTTTTTTCAATGTATTTGTTTGTTAGTTTTTAGTTACGATAAATACACTGGTTTTTAATAACTACACACGTTGCAACACATCTCGCTGGTTTTTCAGGGATAAATATCAAGTCTCAGGACCTCTGCATTCGATTCCTTTCCAATACAATCCATCTCACTGTTTTAACTAAAACAAATGTATCCAGTGCGAATGGAAGCATAAACTATGTCATGCAGAACAGCACCATATGCATCCTTAACATTTTTTGCCCTGTGTTTGTATATGCATTCATGTACAAATCAATAGCAGCGATACTGTGGGGCGAAGAACAGAGGGCTTTATTGATGTTGCCATTTGTCAGTTGGTGCAAAGATGCATAGTGGGAGAGGCCAGCAATGCATATGCAACAACCATCCGTCTTGTTCTACTATACCACACTCCCGCTCATCCACGGCAGGATGTGACATCAGGAATAGGCAGAAACTAGGCGACCACCACCATTGGGCAGCAGGGGGCGACTAGAACAGATGTTAGCAGAATAACACAGGCATGACAATAAGAACTCAACCAACTAATCAAGACCAGGCAATAAAATAGTACAGAGCCGAGTATTGGCATAGATTGCTGACAAATCCTTTTTTCTGGATCTCAATGCCTGTATGTGCATGTGTTCTCTGTAAACCAAAGAAACGGAAAGCTTGCTGTACTGGCTTGAAGCAAACTACTCTACCAGAATATTTTCTCAGCTCTTGATTACATTACTTTGGGGAAGAAGAGAGGCTTCACTCCATTTTACATGGGAAAGCTCTATTTATCATTTCCTAAGCTGGGCCTTCTCATCCCGGTCAACTTCACTTCCAGGTCACAACAGTGTTGGTAGGATGCATGCAAGTTGTATGAGTGTGACAGGAAAAAAGAGAAAGAGAGACAGTTTGTATGGCCAGGAGCAGTGCCAGCGCTCAGGTCTGTTTGGTGGTTGGGGGAAGAGAACACAGGACTCACTGAGGCAAACAGGCCCATAATGAGCTGATAATTCCTCTGCAATAGCAGGCCTGTAAGTTGTAATACACTCCACAGAGCAGCCGGCCACACTGTGCAACATAAACCTCAAATCTACATCCAGAAACAAATACACTAGGCCTTAAAGGTGAAGTGTGTAATGTATGTGCCTCTAACAACAACAAACCCTACTGCTAAATAATGACCCAAGACGGTTTTATTCAGTTGTGCTCTGATTAGCTGTTACCCATTCACACCATTACAAGCTGTATACCTAATCACACTATTACAGGCGTGATTGTGTAAATACACACAGACACATGAAAATGGGGCATGAGGACACAAAAGTAAAAATGCATCAACTTCTTCAATTTCTGAGGATAGAAGGCAAAGCGTTTCTGACCCTTGGGCTGTTTTACATTAGATATCCATGTGACGACTGTAGAAAAGCAAAAGAGACAAGCTAAATGAATACAGCCTCTGTGCTGCTGCTGCTTCTGGCTTAAAGCAGAGCTGTGGGCCATTCGGCTGCATTCCAGCGGCTTCCTGTAAAAACACACACACACACACAGAGAGAAAGCTGGGAGCTCTTATTACTTGCTAGGCTCCCAATGACCGTTAAGTAACATTCAGCGGAACCACAGCTCAGTGCACGTGTCGACTCAAAACATACCCAAAAGCAAACTCAACAAATAGGGACAGAAGCAAGCAAGAAAAGAAATGCAAGTGTAGGTAGGTTTTTAAAAACCATCACAATCTATTCTGGGACAGCCATACAGGCAATGCACAGTCATGTTTGTTGATCTCTTGAACACAATGGCCAATCAGAGGTGTTTAATTTAGTCAGAATCCACTCACCGCTTAAAACGTCAGAGCTCTGCATGCTTACGAATGAATCATGTAGTGTAGATGTCTATTGATTTTAATGGAACTTTGTAACATCGCCAACAGAGATGAATGACAGCTTTTTAGTGGTTGTAAATGGAGCGGTCTTTATGTGCTTTCGAGGCTATATATAATTAATTGAATAAAAGTTGTGTTTTTCATGCTGCTAAGAGGACCGACGGCTAAGTACATGCTACTAAATTTCGGATGTGACATCTACACATACAAATGCGGGATTCACTCTCGAAAAAGCAATTGACATTGATAACTAGCACAGAAAAAAAAAACAAAAAAAACATACCATGTCAAAATAGATATGTGCAATATAAATGCAGGCTAATATATTAATAGAAAAATATTCATATCAATATATTTTTAATATTCCATTTCAATTATTTGTAAAAAATAATGACTTATTGTAAATAATCTTAAATGTCTCACTGTACATCGTTGTTCTTGTTATGGTGGCGCCGTTGCTTACAAATTACATCCGCACTTTACTGGAGAACCCTTACTAATTTCAGATGCACAAGTTTTAGTGAACTTGAATCTAAAGTTCAGGTAAATGTTTAATTGTCCATCTGACTAGTAAGATTAAAATGCTCTGCAAATCCATTAACATAATTTACAATAATTGTGACCAAATAAAGTAATATTTAGACAATGATGCATGTGCAACAACAACACACACAGTTTTAATCTACTGTCTTAGCATAATATAACTTGTATATCATAATATGGTTGGTCTCTATTAAGTCTATATGCTAAATATATAGGCCTAGCTCTGTTTGACATTTTGTATCAGGGTCCCTGCTCCATATCTCTATCGCCAAAGGGGTCCTTGCCCTGAAAAGCGTTGAAGACCCCTGCTTCAGACCAGAGCCAATCAATACTCTGGCATGGGACATTTATGGGGCGGCACATGGACAGTTCTTCTTTCCTCCCAATCAAAGGAGACTCCCTTAAAATCACACACATTTCCTGTAAGCTGTGAATCACCCCTGCCCACAGAGCTGATCGTCTGCCATCTCTCCTTTCTCCTCTCAAACTCATTCTTTCACTCCGCCACAGCAATCGAGAAGCCACAGAAACAGCTGAAGACTGCCAAGTCCACGTACAAACTACAACACTCTTGGCACACCCACACGCCTCCAAACACAGGAAGTAGCAAAGAACAGCTCAGCATGACTGTTTCTCTCCACCTAACTTTCTTTGCCTGCAAAACAGAGATGGCGAAAAAAACAGCATCCACTACTGCCTACTGCACATGCACACATGAATGAGTTCAAACAACACTATATAACAAAAAGACCATGATTAAATGTCAACAGGAGATTTTAACAAGACCGTCTGTGTGATGAATAAATTAGTCCATTTTACTGCCTATTGAACCACATCTTTTGTGCCTCATTAGGGGCTGCTCACACATAATGTACTTTTTCATTCCACAGTGCTACTTAAACATTGTTTGTCTACGTAAACATGCGCTACACCAGCATTTCTGACAGTTGTGCTCCGCATCTCGCTTCTCTTGCGGTGTCTTGCACAACACGGCATTGTAAAAATGCTGCACTCAAAATAAGTTACACTTAAAAAAACATCTCATTTCTACTGCACGCGTCTTACATTCATTAAAGCAAAAATGTGTTATGTGAATGGCACCTTAGATTTAAAAAATAGCTTGACACAACACGGTGGAATGGAAGAAGAGGCCTTTTTTTTTAGCCCGTTATAACTTAACTTACAATATTTTTAATTGAAATCTAATACTATGCCTGAATATAGTTACAGATTTTCCAATTTGTCTCAGTTCCAAATCACAATTTCAATTCAATTCCAATTTGATTCTTGGGTATATTGTTGGGTACATTAAGAGTGCAATCAATCATTAAATCCTTTTTTACCCAGCCCTATTCATTATACCATAAAATTCCCAAAAAATTATTCCCCCAAAAAATAAGAATGGTCAATTTTAGTTTCTTGATGACTTTTCTTTTCAGCTTAGAGTATGCAGTGCGAAACTTGGCAGCTGCTTCTCATCGTCTACTTTATCTTTTCTCTGCCTATTTGTAAATTGTTTTGTTGTCAAGTCTCCATTTATCACCTCGCTGGTAGAACGTTTATTAAGAACACAGTTTTATATTATAGTTTTACACTATGTGCTATATGACCAAGGGTTCACCACAGCCTGTACAAACCAGGATCCAAACGACCTCCGCCACAACCAGCTCTTCCACATTCCTTCAACATTTTATAAAACGACCAAAAAAAGACCACATGGTCACCAACTTTGGCCGACACAAAGGCCGTGAGATTTTTCTGGGCTGCACCCTGGTCCCTTAATCAGCATGCTGTCCCGTGTGCATCATGGAGGAGAGGCTGACCTGGGTGGGTCTGGCAGGAGAAGGGCTGAGGTGTAAGGCTGGCGGACACTGGCTGCGCAAGAGCCGTGCTCCCGGCGGGCAGAGGTTGGCCCCGCTTCAGTAGCTGCTTGTGTTCGTGTTGACGGAAACGAGGGGGCACCTCTCTGGGCGGGTAGCGAGGGGCTGCCGGCTGCTGCTGTTGGTTGCTGGAGGGTGCGCGCTTGCCATTGCCACCAGTGCTGCTGCTGGCTGAGGGCACGGACGGGTTGATGGCGGTGCTGGGGTTGGTGGGGGGAGGAGGGGTGGGGCTGGGCTTGGCAGAGTCTGGCACTGTGGACACAGAGATGAAAGAGCGAGAGAAAGACAGACAGAGAGAGAGAAGGGGGAGAGGGAAGCATAAAGTTAATTTTAGCACATGCCATAACGAAAGCAAACAGGAAGTGTCTTTAGAGGGATGACACTATGAGAGGATTCGGGAGGGATGAGCAGGTGCGAGACCATTGAGGATGTCGGTTCGTCTGTCTCTACCGATCACAGACGCAGAAGAGCGCTTGGGGAGGGAGACGAAAAGAAACGAAAGTGCCGTTTATCTTAATACCTCAGTGTTGTGGAGGAGGTAGAAACAGTTACACAATTAGCCATCAGAGAGACTGATCCAGGCAGATCTCCGCCTGAGGCAGAGGCAAAGATGAAGCAGTGGGAGCACAAACATCTGTGTGAATGAGTGCCGGACTTACGTCACGCACTCCTATCTCACAGAGGGGGGTGATGCATATACTGCTGGGGGATAAACCACTGTCTGGTGGAGGAGCAGAAGCTTGGAGGGAAAAAAAAATACCAAAAACTATTTGAGAACTCTACTTCGTGGGTTTTTGGGCTTTTATTGATTTTAGGATCTTCAGAATTTTTAGGCAGAGTGACAGAGGGGAAAATATCAAAATGCATTCAAAGATAGGTCTACACTGATGCACTGCAATCATTCACACAAAGACCTTGTCGAACAGACCGCAAAACTTCAAAAAACAGCTCCGCAACTAAGTATTAAGTATGCATTTTAAAGAGTGTGTATATAAATATCAGGAAAAAGGCAAAGGTACAAGACTGCATACTTTATGAGGGAATTAGCTAGTCATCTGATAAACAAGGACGGCTAATTACATAACTGAATGTTAAATGACTACTGAAGCTGTTTGAGAGTGTAGGGAGAATTCTCGATGACATGATTAACTAGTACAGTCTGTTCAATGGTCGATCAACACATCGAAAATACACCCCCAAAAAAAGGATTTTGCTGCTGGTTGAAAATCTTTTGAGATGTTGTCATTTTAATTTCATCATGTTCAACCACATAATCCATTAGAGCTGGGACTACATGGATGATTTTATTGTTTAAGTAGCATTGCATAAACTGTTAACAGGATTTCCACAACCCATCATGCTTTGCATGAGACTGGATAGGGAGAGTAAATGTTTACAAAGTGTTATTCTATGCATTTTTTACCAAGCTGAGAAAAGGGGGGGCCTCATTCATGTTTAGTGTTCTATTACTGTATGTTGGTGTTTTTGGAGTGTTACCATTGCGTTGATGTGTAGAAGACCTGCTAACAAGAATTCAAGGTGCTTTAATAAAAAAGCAAATACTTGGACTACACTTGGGAATGCAATGGATGTAACCAGTTTCATATTTTGGCTGCCAACATCTAACATCAAATGTGTAAAGGTATATTTAGCTTGATAATATGTGTAATTGTTAGCTAATGGTTTACTTCAAAATAACTTGATTCAATCGTTATTTTAGCACATCAGCAGTTACAACTAGCAGTTTAGTTGGGTTTACTTACTTCAGTTCAGTTTCTTTAAGAATTTGATAAGAGATAACAAAATTGAGGGGTTTTTTTTAAAGTATGCAATAAAGAGTGAAACTGGACTTGACATAAGAACTCATCTCTCCCTCACAGCCTCTTTCACATTTGAGTAAGTATAAATACGGCGTTTTCTGTCAGGTAAAAAGTCACTCATTAAAGAAGGTTTGTGTTAATCAGGTGAACTACACTCTCCAGCATCCACTGCTTCTTTCCAATAGGCTGGAAAGAGGCTCACAATCACATACACTATAGATTATGCACTGGAGAGGCCAAGTGTGACAGCCTGAATGCTACATGAAAACATGAATCCTGAGCTAGTGTGAATATGTCCTTTCAATTTCTCCCTTTCTCTTTCCCTCACATGCAAGTCCCTCCCCCAGTCGTGGCCCATTGCTCTCTTTCATGGCATGTTAGCAGCACAGACGCTCTCCAGTGGCGCAGTCGCAGTGCTAAGCTGGAATCGGTGACGCCAATCCCAGATTAAGTCCAGCTCAGCCTGCCTGCCAAGAGCTGGCCGACCAATCGCTACAGATCCACTCCTCTCACATACATGTCTGAGTTGGCCCACTGTTACAGCCGATTATGAACGTGTTACGGGAAGCATACGGACTGCCAAACGCATGGCTAATTTCTCTTGATTATTCTGGGAGTACCTGCACATTCACACTTTTACCCCAGGGCACTGAAAAATTGCTGCAGTCAGGGCCCTTTGATGAAGGGTATTCTAGAAGCTTCTGTGGAAACTGTCAGCACTAGTCCAATCACAACGCAGCACTGGCGAGGGGTAGTTTGAGAGTGGAAGGGGGAGGGAGATGCAATGAGTCCTCGAATGGGAGACGAGGGGGAAAAAATAGGAGTCTCTGTATGCATCTAAATCCAGCTCTCTGAACACTGGACACATGGACACACAACAAAAATCCTCAAACAATTGCACCGTTGGGAGATTCATGTGAACTGAAATGCTTTAACTGCTAACCAGTTTACTGAGACTTATTTTAAAGCTTTGTTGCTCTGATACACACTCTCACGTGTAAAAGCATGAAGGCAACCCGCAAGACCATTGATGCAGATCTGGCAAGGATCTGTTTTATGTTATATTATGGGTTAATAATATCAGTAATAATATTAATAAACTAATAAAATAAATAACAATATAATAATAATGACAACAATAATAAAATAATATAATATAATAATATAACATTTACTTTGCTAAAACAATTATGTATGGTTTGTGTTGTTGTTGTTTTGAAGTAAGCATGTACTGTACACAAACAAAAACTCTCACATGATATGCCAGTGGATTCAAGGCAACATTTTATATGCATTACAGTGATGAATAACTAGTTCATCGGCCCTGAATAGTAGATCCACTACGAGAATGACGATTTAGACAACTTTTTAACTATATAAAAAAAGTATTTAATGCTTGAATAATTCATGTAAGTGTTTTAACAAATATGAGCTTCACATTTCTGCTTTGAAACCCACGTTTTGCAAGTGCACGACCCCGTGTCTTTCCATTGTAAGTGCCTTACTGTTACTTAAAATAGAAAGATAGAAAGAAAGAAATGATTGTCTATGGTAATGGATATTATGCCACTAATGCTGTTGATATACATTAACTTATTGATCTAAGAAAATTCTTTTAATTACCATTGTTCCATCTACTGTATGGAACAGAAACACTGAACAAACACTGCTTGTGCAGAAATGCAAAAGCTTTTTCATATATTATTTTTTATCAAACAAACAAACAAACAAACAAACAAAAAAGGCGCTCAGATAAATCATAAAAGAAAATTGCTCTAAAGGGAAAAGAAAAGACTGACAGAGGAAAAGCAGACATCAGCTTTTGGTGAGGCTGCATTAGATATTAAAGATGTCTGTTTGCAAAACAGCTCAAATGCATTCAGCATTTCATATCAAAGAGGGGAAAAAAAAGCATATTAATATTGGCCCAAGGGGGTATTTTCCATCTTACGGCATGCTACAGATCTCTCTCGCTTTCACGTAGACGGCTTCATTTACTGTCTGACGAGAAATTAAATCCTGCATTAAACGTTCAATTCTTCGACTTCACAGGACAGATGAAAGCACTAAAGGTACGAGAATGGTGTAACATGTCTTGGTATGATGAAATTACAGGACCTGAGCCCAGTATAAATACAGAGGAGACATCTTAAATGTAAATACAGCACACTGACTGCGCCTCCTACTACAGACACACACTCCGCACATGCTGCTAAAGCGTAATGACAGGCTTTCCAATATGAGCAGTCACTTCAAACGGAGGCCAAAAAGTGCTGAGTGGGTTTATTTTGATCAAAAGCGCTTTCCAGCACCGATTTCAGACTGTAATTGAGTTATGAAACAAGACAAAGGCATTGGGATGTGGAAATGTGAATCAGACCTCACAGAGTGAACAGGTTTTTGAGGTCAATATAATTGAACGTCACTCTCTCTCAATGGCACGTTAGTGGCCGTCTGTGGAGGAGAGAACAGGCAGATATTGTGCTACCAAATCATTATCTGTCACTTTGACAGACTGTGTTGTAAATGTTTTACCATGCTCTATTTTAAACCATCCTTGTTTTCCCAAAAATTATATAGAGTTTGTAAAACATAGGCTACAATGATAGTTAAGGAACTAATATCATGTACAACTGACAAGAAAGTTCGGAGAAAACAATAATAATAAAGATATATATATATATATATATATATATATTTGTATTTTTTGGAAACACCTAAATGATTTGCATCTATACAAAAACTCAAGTTTCCGTGAAATTGTTGGAGAAAATGCTTGGTATTGTTAATGTGATATAACAGTAATATCACAAGCTTGTCATAGCTCCCACACTTTCTGACCAGGGAATTTCCATGTTTTTTTCATGACTTTCAGGGTTTAAAAAAAAAACATTTTAGCACTTCACGAATAGACATTTCTTCTCAAACGTTTTGCCTCAGAGGACCCGCATTGCAATAAGGATTAGGAACTTTAAAAATTGTTATCACTCAATTTCTACCTGATAAAGTATTTTAGAGCTTAGCATAACTAGAAAAATGTATATTCATAAAATGTATTACAAGATTTGATTCATTTAAATTTTTTTTTTTTTAGGTCTACAGTTAGGCTCCCTTATACAAACAGGTTTTCCTGTTCTTAAAAACAACAAAAACAAACGCTGAGAGGGTGAATTAAAAAAAAGAAACACCTTGATATTTTAATAGCTTTTTTTTTAGCTTATTTTAATGCTCGTTTTGCCTTATTTTTAATCCTTTTAAGTATTGAGGCCCCTTGGTTGAGAACCACTAATTTCTAACACCTATAGAAATTTATATGACTTTTCCAGGCCTGAAAAAAAAAAAAAAACACACTTGTAAAATCGCCTGATAGCTACAGGTTTTGCAGGACTGTGGAAACCCCATTCTGTGGCAAGAGCTCTAACCTTTTTTTTT